TAAATTTGTACTAATTTTTGAGGTCTAATGCTGTTTTTTTAACATTATTACTATTTCCTGTTTTGAAAGGCAACACAGCAACCATTGTCCGATGAGAAAGTAATAAAGGAAACAGCCACAAGAATCTTGGGCTTTGCAGATCGGTTAGCATTACCGGAGAGGATTCTGGACTTTTGTGGCAGTCTCCCTATCTACGAAGTCGAAGACGTTTCAGTGGAGGCAATGAACGCGTCTTTTTACAGCATGCAAGGTCTGTACAGGAAAGCAAACCTTAAATCATTCTAAATAGGCTTAAATAACCGTACAAAATATGGTGGGATATTTGTACTAGTCTAGTGCCTTTTCTGTACAATACCTAATGCAGTTGGATAACAACTCAGGGGCTGTGATGTGAAGTCATAACGGGCATCATGGTTCAGTCTTTCCAAATGCTCCCTGCCCTGCCCCTCCTTCCCCGAAAAGCTAATTTTTACCGAAACTTTTTTGGGGGAAGGGGGGGTTAGAGAGGGGGGAGGTCATTTAAGGTGATTCGCTGGTTTTGCACTGCGCATCTCTTACTGCGCATGACAAGATGGCCGACGTAAAAAGAGCATCTGAAGTAACATTATTAAAATAAAGCCGTTACTGAAGAAAAAAAAAGGTATAAATCTACATTCAGTTTTTGGGCAATTTTACTAAATTGTACGGAGTGAGCTATAACGGGTCGAATAGCGCGTGTCCAAATTAAGTCTACTTTGGAGCGTAAAGTAAAAACAAGGGCATTAAAAGCGAACAAAATCTCTCCTTTTTGTCCAGTTTTGGGCTAGCTGCGCGCGGTTTTTGTCAAAGGGTCCTAACGTCAAAACGAGCACGGTGACCCCCAATTTTATCACTTTTTTTATCATCTTCTTGAATTGTTACATCAGAGTACCAAATTTCATTTACAATCTATGTTAGGTACTTTTACTAAGGAATCACCTTAATCCCTTATTACACCTTCCAAGTCTTATAGTAAGGTATGAATAATAAGAAACATGAAATTGCCTTCAATCTACGATATAGCTTTAAAGCGGGATGATAAGTAAGGTTGTTTTCAGATTTCAAGAGCATTTTTTAGGTACAAAAAGAATTAACGCCCGGTTTCGTTCTTTCAGCTTTTGTCGTAATAGAACATGAAGAAAACACAAAAATGCCGTCTCCCAGAGAATCTCTTGACGTTATCTTTTAGGACCGCTGTAGTAGAAATAAAGCACGCCAACAGTCGATACAAACACTCTCTCCCATTGTAGAATTTACCCATTCTTACCTCAGTCTGATTGCGACAGCATTTTTTTGGGGAGATCTGAATAATAGCCTCCACATAAAGTATTTCTACTTCTACACTTTATGCCATTTATTTCCTGGAAAATAAACAGTTTGTATTTGACACACAGCAGACCACTTGATGATCGTAATAGTTATTATAATAAAAATATATTTTTTGGTTATTTATTTTTTTTGGATTATTTTTCCTTGCTTATGAAGGTCAGGCACGGCACAAGCGCCAGTCATCGATTCGAAGAACTACGTGTACCAATTCAGCCCAGCAGAGAGGAATTATGGAGTTTTGCTTGGATATGAAAAGAGAACTTAAAGCACAGAATTGCAAATGGACTTATAGTAATTGCTATTTCTTCATTACCTGCAAAAGCGATCCCTTTGGGATGTATTCCTGTAGCTTATCCGGTCATATTATTAAGAATTACTGTTGTCATTATAAATGCGACATGTGACTCGCCGTTCATTCGTTGATTTTGTTTAACAGAATTTACAGAAAATGATAAGAACTTAATCGTATGGATTATTCCAAATTAGTTATGCGCTTACCTAGTCGAAGTTTTAAGCAAAAAGTAGAAAAAGCAGCGAAAAGAAGTAAGAAAGAGAGTGCATCTCTTGCTCTCCAGTGTAGCAGTTTTGTACCACGCGAATAAGTTAAAGTAACGTAAACTGTAAAGGGCATATTGAGCTCACAACACTGGAAAAACTGGACCTTTCATGGTGATAATAAAATGTTTACAAATTGTAAATTTATAGACTTTTCATGCGAATGCAAATCTTCCCCTCTTTCTCAAAGGGAAAACAAAATGTCCGTAAAATTATGTTTGCAGACTTTTCATACATTTTTTTTTTAATAGATGTATAATTGCATAATAAAGGGAAGCCTGAGAAATCTATATAAATTTTACAATTATAGAGATTTTCCTAAGTTATTCATCCCCCTAAAATCTCTGTGAAATGGTATAAGTAGGCCATTGTAAAATCCCTGTAAAAATGGTACGTACAAGTAGGGCATTGTAAAATTTCTCGAAAATGGTATAAGCAGGGCATTAGGAATTTTGTGATTGTTTAATGATATGCGAGTGCCACAGGGAGGAAAATCAGTTGAACTTAGCTACCAAACGTTGACGATGGGAAATGTTGGTACTGGAACTAATAGTCATGAAGAGTCAATAAGTTTTGGATATTAGAGAGAGAGGTCTCAATAGTACAATTTATAATTGTATTTAGACGTCTATAAATAATATTGCCTTTTTGATCCTTTAGTAATGGCCGGGATGGCATAGAGGGTATAAGTGCTGTGTAATAACTGGACTTAAGGGTAATGAAGGTCCCACCTGTAATAAAGTTTGGACCCCTTGGACCCAAGTCTAATAAATACCCTGTGGTGACAACAAATTATGACCAGTAAGAGATACCAAACTGTAAAGTCAAGTGACCATACCGAAACCGACACCGGCCATTAAATTTTCAGATCGTCATGGGTCCCATTGTTAAACTGAATCCTCCACATAGCGGGAGGCTGGAAGAGCTAGGACCAAAATTAATTTCATGACGGATATAACCTTTATTACACTTGTGACCAAGTATTATTACAATTAGAGCCTTTAATACACTCGGGTCCAAATGTTATAACAGATGGAACCTTTATTATGCTTGGGTCCAGTTATTACACTTTCGCCTTCTATAGATGAGTTTGGGATCTAACATTTTTCACGCTACTAATGCATTTAAATATTCATTTTCTAGGCTTTTAAGCCATGGCTCGCTTTTACATACCCTATTTACGAGATGAAACGCAGCTCTTAAATAAACACCGCGCGTAAAAACAATTTCAAAACCCGGTAGACAGACTTCGTGATCATAAATCGTATTATCTAATTGCGATTTATTTATGGCAAGAATATCGATTTTAGAGTCTACCATAAAAACTCTAAGTTCGTCAATGTGTGCTGTTAACTGTTGATATTTAAACAAGCAATAACAAGACCCCGATCAGAGCAAACAAACAAACAAAATGTCCACGTTGTGACGGCCATTTGAAGTAGGAAAGAGAACAACTCGTCTTTCTGCCATCTTGTCCAAGAAACTAACGTGAACTTCCCGACAGACGAGTTCCATGAAAGATAAATCACGAGGTCGGGCGATAAAGTTTTCCTTTGAGATACAATGTACATACAACATGTGACAATTTTGCAGTGCAGAAGCACTATCACCTGGAATTGTGTTGAACGACGCCATCAATCCTCTCGAGGCAAGCAGTAGAATCAAGTGATGACGTCACCAAAATTTTCGATATATTAGTTTGAAACACAATGCATCATGGGATACTGTTCATTCCTCCTCTAGACCCCGATTAAACTGATAAGACTCACTATCCAGACCATTCGGCACAGAGCCCTCGGTTTCCTCGGTCCCCCACGGCAAATGCCTAATGACTATTAACATAAGTAGATAAGTTCTGGCTCAAGACAGAGGTTACTGCTCTGTTCAAATGTAGGCGGCATACCGAGTTTTGCTACGAAAGCGTGAAATCCCTCGAAGAACTCACAAACATCAAAGTAATACTTTTCCCAGTGCTCTAACGCTTCATAAAAGTAAAAACCCCGAAGGATCGATAATTCCTTATTTTTAAATTTTGGTGACGTAATGGATGTGAAGATGAAGAATAGGCCGGATTACAGTCTATCATATTCCACTTCAGTGAGCCTATGAGAAATGAATGGTCGAGGTCTGTGTAGACAATTTCAGTGTGTTATACTTTGTCAGCCCAAGTCATGAGTTGGTCGAATGGAAGACCATCACTAGCGGATCAAAGATCGGAGAACGAACTGAAAACGTAAGGAAAACGAAAAAAAAAAGAGTTTTTCACAGTTTTGCAATGAGTAGCGAAATAACAACGACAACAACAACAACAACAATTCTAACAATAATAATAGTGGTAATATGTCGTTTAACACAATTGATTTTTCTCTGTTTATCGGTGCCACAAATTTATTGACATCGAGGCAAAAAAAATTTCGCATCTGATTCGATGTCATCTTTAGGTTATGTAAGCATTTCCCGAGTTGTCTTATCATTACTCAATACTGCTTATCGGTAAATGGCAAGGAATTAACACAAGCTAAGTGGCAGACAGGGCGACTAGAAACCTGCAGCCGACGTGCGATCATAATGCATTCCTTTGGACCCAATACCTCCACAATGTGAGTCCGATTCACAGCCAACCAAGCCACGATCTGCTGCCTTCACGCTATCCACTTTAAAGGTCGTTTTATGTATTATAATAACTCTAAAAAATGCTGAGACTGCATCAGTCCAGCTAATTTATCGCCTGATATGCTGTGTACAGTCAACTCTCTCTTTGACGGACATCTTTAATTTGGATCGGCACTATTTATATTATCGATCCGTCGTAAAAAAATATTTGTCCTGCAGACCTTGAGAAAAAGGGGGGGGGATGGTCTCCAAAAATATTTTTTCGGCCCCTCGGGCCTTAGTTTGGTCTAAAAATAAGGGGGGCGGGCCACCCGGGCCCCTCCCATGGATCTGCCACTGTATAAAGACTAATAAAAGGAGTGAAAAATGGCAACTCCGTTTTAGCGAGTTGTCCGTCTTCTAGAAGTGTTAATTAAGGGACATTTGATTAAAATACTATGAACTATGAACTATTTTAGTGATTTGTATAAAACTGCAAGTTTATCAAATGGCTTTGCTGACAAATATAACCTAGACTTTAGGCCAATTTGCCCCAAGTGAGTAGAATTTCTGTGAATGTAATGTTATTACCAGGACTTTACTTTAAAATGAAGCTGAACTACAGAACCAAAAAAATCCGCCTATTCCCGCTTTGTTCATATCTACAACTATAGCTCTGTCACTAATATCCTTAAGTATCTTTGAACAAATGAGTTTTCCCACGTCAGGATCAAAAACCACCCTCTCTCTCGTGATTTCATTCCCAGAAATCAAAAATACTTGCGGACAAATAATTGAAACACGCCTTTCAGGGGTCCTTTGCTTCTCTTGGTCAGTTGTTATGGGTTCAGTTGGAGGAACCGATCCTAAACCTGGGCGATCCTTGACTTGAGTGTTTTTTTCTTCCAAAGCAGGGCTCTGTTCAGATGATTCTAAATCGTCATGAAAAAAATAATAAAAATAATAAAAGTAATGATAGTCATAATAATCATTATTATAATTATAATAAATTCTTCATTACTGATTACTAGATAAAAACACATATCTAATGTTACAAAGTCGCCAAGAGGAAAGCTATATAAAATGTTGAAAAAAACTAGTAAATGGAAGAGAATAAGTCAATATAAATAATCTACAAAAGGAGTTACATTTAAAAAAACTGAGCCTTTTTAAATAGATGTATTCTTAAAAAGTTCCGAATGTTTCTTGCACTTATTCTTAATTAACACAGAGGAAGAATTTTAAAAGATACCAAACGTAATAATAATAATGATAATAATAAGTAATGGTAACAGGACTGAGTGGAGTCCAATTCGGTCTGTAATCATACGAGTGATTAACAAAATCGGACGACCGCGTAGCGGGAGTCCGATTTGTCTCATCACGAGTATGATTACAGACCGAATTGGATGACACGAGGTTCTGTTACCAATTAATCATAACGTTAACAAAATTTGTGATATAATAGGCTATTTTTTAAATCAAAACACAAGAAATTCGAAATTTTGTTTTGCTAGCAGTGAAAAAAAAAAAAGCCATTTAAGCGCGCGCGCGATGGCGCGTACTGTCCAATTACTTAGGCATGACGCGTACTGTCCTTTTGTTATAGTTATGATTATAATGATAATAATAATAATAATCATAATCATAATCATAATCATAATGTTGAATAATACTTTATTAAACTCTTCTCAAATTGAAAGTTAAATACAAATTTAGTATAACTATAGTTAAAAAAGACTTCTTGGTGGTCTGGTGGTTTCAACAGAGCAAATGTAAACAACTGTCTATAAACTAAAAAATGAAAATGTCTATGTACATCCAAGAGACCTCATAGTCTCTTGGTACATCCCAATAATAAAGTATCTATAGCTATTGTTGTTAGAGTCTACAATAATAATAATAATAATAATAATAATGATGATGATGATAAATTATGTTATAGTGATCGACTGACAGGTGAGAATAGCGCCCAACTCCATTTACAACTATTGGCAGCCCCACAGCATACAATTACGCCCATACCACACTGAGAAAGAAGGGGTTGATGTGTTTGCATTTTTGTTTAAAACCAAATGCCCAGCGGTTTAATTATTCAGAAATAACATCTGGAAGCAACAATACTAATACGTAAGACTAAGTTATGATAAAATACTTAATGTTAATTGAATAATAGAGGGCGTTTATCTAGAAAAAAAATCGTACGTTTACTGGTAACTGTCTGTTGCGAGCCACCACGAATCAAGCGCCATGCAAATCCTTGTCCATTCTATTACTCTACCGGTCGACTCCAGGGGGAGTTCTCTTCCCTTCATTTATAAGGTCTCTAGGACAAATTCTATCTTTGAACAATTTCAGAGAAGTTTGAGTCCGTCTGCATTACTGAAAATTATTATAGCGCCTACATGTTTAAAGGGCTTTAAACGTCTATTTCTTTCCCTCTTTTCCCGTGCTCCTCATATTACTTAAAACAATCTAAAGGTCACGCCCAGTTACGGAATTCCCAGGGGCAGATAGTGGGGGAAAGTGAAAGTCTATAAACGGGCAGGAAAAAATGGTGCGAAGAAAAGTAAAGAACATTCTTTACTTTTCTTCGCACCAATTTCTTCCGCCCGTTTAGACTTTTCCTCGCTTCCACTTTCTGCACCTGGGTCTCCGAGGATAGTGCAAACCTGAATTCTCGGCCGTGAGGATCCGTTTTCCGTTTCGATACTCCTCCTCAGAAATGAACACTTTCAGCTTCACGTCATCGAGGCCAAGGTTTTCCAAGACCTCATTTGTCACCAGCGTTTCTTGAACCACTTGATTAAGGTGACCGCTGACGTAATCTTCCCACAATCCTTAAAGGATCTTCAGTGAGCTACATTTAACGGTTATCGATAGACTTCCCAGTTCAATGTCTTCAATAAAGGCACTCAAAGTATTCCCTAGATATCCAAAAAGTAATCTGAATGGGTGTTCGAAAGCTACGATAACGTTCCATAAGTCTACCTCTGCTGGAATTTCCTGTTGGTTTCGGTGCATTTCACCAGGGGCGACCACCACTCCATACTGAACGAAGCTTTCGATGACCATCCCAAGCCGAAGCATTGCTGTTGGAAAATCGATAGAGCCATTGATTAATCTTCAATGAGTACAGTTCGCTTTGAACATAAGATACTTATGCGCAAACATTCATGGCAGATTCATGGAACACTCACCTTCATTTCGTAATGTCTTGAACTTATGGATTTTGCTACAAGTCGCCCAGTCAAGGGGTCCTAGTAAAGCTAGTATGACAATTTACCGCAAAGATTTAGACTGCATTCCTCTTTTATTGCTCTCTTTCTTTCTTTTTCCTTTTTTTCTATATCACGTTTTGTTGTTTGCTTTCATATAGGAGACATCACTGAATGGTCGCCTGTTTGATTCGCATTTGCCGCTAGTCCGACTTCCCGACAGACAGGTAAAAAATCCCGCATCCCGCGCCCACATTTTGATGTAGCAGTCAAATCCCGTTTCCCGTCAAAATATTCTGCGCTGTCCCGAATCCCGCACCGTATGTTGGTCAAATCCCGGATCCCAAAAAAGCCCCTTCAGACCCTGCGAAAGAGTATTAGGCAAGAGAGGATAAAGGGGACAGAGAAGGCATCCCCCATACACACCCTATTCCGTAGGTAATTCGTCTCGAGTTATTTTTAACACCACAGATCTCGAGGGGGATTAGACAACAGCCAATCACATAGCACGAATGTGTTCTGCTAAAGCTGTGTCAGCGAAACGGAAATTAAAAAAGAATCGCCCTTCCTCTCTTGTATAGAGCTAACAGTACAGCAGGAAAATCCTTAACACACTGAATATTCTCTCAGGATCATTTATAATTTACAATTTGAAGAGAGCAATTTCTAGTTTGATATTTATTTGGCGTCCTACTTGCTTTATTGTACAAACGACCGGTTTCAAAGAGGCCAGCGATTCCCTTTTCCCAAGTGAGCGCCGACTCATTTCGCTTCAATATTCAGGACGAATGCTCTCGATCTCTTTACGCTTTTATTATTGCCTTTCGCCCGACATGTTTTGCACGACGTTTAGTTATGCGAAACCTCCATGAAATATCCACGCAGCGCGCGAGGTAACTTTATCCCGATTCTAAAAATAACTCGAGACGAATTACCTATGGAATAGGGTGTGTATGGGGGATGCCTTCTCTGTCCCCTTTATCCTCTCTTGGTATTAGGTGAATAGCGAAATTGGCGGTGGAATTTTCCCAAAACTGATGTTTGTAAGCTTTCTGCAACTCTGACAGCATCGGTTAGACTTTCCAAGATGAGGTATCTGATGTGCAAAGATCTACCTTTTCGTTAATTGCGAACTAAATCACTTACATGAAAACAAAGTCGCTTGAGAAAAGCATAATGTTAATCGCTCCATAATTGACCCGAAATGACAAGACCCGTAGCGAAGGAGTAAAGATTAATTAATTAATTAAATCTTAAACTGACCGTCTTGCTGATCTCTTGTGTCCTTCCGTAGTTCTCTGACTTCCTGAACAAGTTCTTGTAACACTTTTGTGTTGTCGATCTCTTTTTGGTACCACAGCTCTAGTTCTTCGGCGTATCCTTCTTCCGCTGGCGTTAAAGGGTCACGCAGAAAATTCTCGATAGCATCTTTCCAGTTGCTTTGTTTTTCAGTACTAAGGTTTGCTGCAATCCTCAACAGCGCTTCGCTGATTTTCCCCCAGAGGTCAAGAAACTGTTCATCAGGAATTTCCAAATTGTTGCTGTGACCATAAACTTCATTGCGATAATATTTTATTCGTGCCAGGTCTGCTTCAAGGCTATGGTCGGAGTCGTTTGGTAGGCTGTCCCATCCTGTAGGGGGAGAGGTCAAGTTGCATATTGTTTTCAGCAGCTTGAAGATTAAACTGATATCAAAATCACTCGACTTGCCGTATACCCCTGGGGAAGGGCTCAAACAATTCCACTCTGGACTGGTAAGTCTAGCTCTCCTCAGCTGTCTTTCCACTAAAGGGTCACTAAGCGTTGTGGGAAGATTGGCGGGGCTGTGGATGGAGTCGAATACCTCTCTTAAAAGCACTGCACCACCGCACATCAGAAGCCGTGTCAAGCGCTGAAAATTAGATTTTTGCTTCGTTGATCGCAATGCTTCTTCTGCCTCTGAAATGGACGCCATGAATAAGAACACCAGTTGGTCAGCAGTTGGATACCATTCGTTACGATACAATTTCTGTAACACAAACAAATTTGGAACCTGATTAAGGACATTTATAACATGAATTTCAGTGCTATGCGACCTTCAGTTCGAAATCACTTGACCTTGAAAACAGATTTTCTCCAAACAAGGAAGCCAAACAGCACTTTAACTTAAATGCAAACGGCGTTGCCTAAACAGGGCTTCACATTTACGGCGAACATCCGTCAGCAAAAGCAAATCAACTATCGTCACGAGGCTAGTTTCTATCCTGCTTTTTATATGCAGCCCTTCTTCAATTTTCAATAATACTTTACTTCGATACGCAAATTTTTAAAAGAAAATAGTACGAATAAGACCAACAATGTCTTAACCGCAGAATACAAACCCTAAACCCCTAAAAACAGGCGGATAGGCGGATACTAAAATCACTAGGTATCCGCGTATACACTTAGTAAATATCTTCTCAGTAATAGTCAATGCGTATCCACTTCGATATACACTCAAGACAGCATATAACGCTTATAGTATGTCTGTTTGTCGTTCTTAAAGCCACTGAAGGTAGAGAAGCGCATAAACTAGCGATAACTCAGGGGCACCCAACGACGGTTTCAAAATACGTTGAAAACACTTTTTAGGCTATCCAGAGTACTTTTAGATCTCTAGAAATGCATTCTAAGCGGCGCTACAAAATTTGTATCTGTTCGGTCATCCCAGGGGAACTTAAGTCTTTTCGAAATTACAAGGGCTTCAGTATTTTTCGGGCAGACATTTAAGGTGTAATTTAATGTTTTACGAAAGTAAGAATTTTTCTGATTCCTCTCTCAATCACATTTTAGAATCCGAAAATTTTAGGTTTCGTTTTTCTACGAAAAATAGTGCAACCTGGGTTGTAAAATATTAAAAAATAAACTTCTGAAAATCGTAGGGAATTTATTAGAAAAGCTTGGAAAATTGTACATGAATAGAACGTTCATCTAGAAATTTTTAGCCGTCCTCAAGCAAAAGAAAATTTTAGGCAAAATTTGCTTTTCCGAACAGATATTTTACAGAAAACGGTCGTTGGGTGCTCCTGATAACTGTGTATTCACGTATCCAGCTCTTTCAGGGATTCAGCTTCGAAGTGGCAGAGTATTCTGCAGTTACTACCCAACAATTAATCTGTAAATTGCTCTAATTACTGACAGATTTCGCCCCTATTTTAGCAGTGCAGTATCTTGCAATGAACGACATTAAAATGGTCGCTTGTTCATCTTTGTCGAGCTCTACCGTTTCGGTGTAAAAAAAAAACAATGCCGTACTCTTCTCGGAAGGCGCTACCTAGTGACGGGAGAGCTGATCGCGTGACGGCAGTAAATACAGTCTTACCGGAGTCTACCGAAATAGCAAAACTTTCCAATTTCACTCAAACAGTTCAAGATGAAATTACCAAACTTCAAACGAACAAACTGAACGGAGCTTTGATCTCTGAGTTTAGTTTACGCTCGATCGTATCTGTTGTTATAAACATGATTGAGCGGTTCTAATGGACGCCTTATGGAATATTTTAATCAAAGCCAGTTTTCAAACTTTCGCATCCACAATGCACTCCTGGTGATACAGCTACCTCTTAATTCAATCTTGTTTTCGGAAAATACTTTAAAAAGAGGCAATATTACTCCCATCACACAAGAATCATGGGTTGTATTGCATTACTATACGGCGACAAAACGAACTAGCGATCAATTCCGTGAAGTCGTAGACCCAAGATACCTTGACATGCTGCATCAGACAGTGATCAATTTATGTGTGTAAGGGCAATTTTATCTATAGTGAGTCAGTGCAAAACATAAATATCAAAGGATAAAGGCAATGCAAAAGTTACACACCAAAGCTCTTCTTCTTTAGACATCTTTTTAACATCGTGGAAAGAGGAATAAGCCTACAATGATTTCTGGGAAATTAGTTAAGACTAATCTTTGGAACTGTAGACCGTGGAACAGCGGAACCTGCGGAACCTAAAGAAATGACTGTTTTATTACAACTCCCTTTTGCTAAGGAGATAAAATAATTAGTTACAATTATTTTTTTACAATTTTTTTACAATGATTTCTCGCCCGTGGATTGGTCGAGCTATTGTCCATAACAGTACAGACCACTGAACACTGTTTTCGATTTCCGAAACAGGAAGTCCACGAATCGCAGACTTCCGGCTTGTTAGTGGTCGTCGAAAGCAAACGAGAGGTATAGTCTTAAACCGGGATGAGAGAATGATGAGGGTATACTATTATTGGCTCCTGAAGTTAACGCGTTAACCGACGTATTATTCCATCCCTTACCTAAACACCTTTCATCCCACTTTTAAATTCATATCAAACTGCTCATTCAAATCTTTCTCCTTTCCCTTGGTCAAGGTGTCCCCCAATGATGGTATCGATCGTTGAAATTGTTCTTTATAGTTAAAACTACGGACGAACATCAGTATCCATTCAGCCTTTCCCTGAGAATACGACATATATATTCCTCCAACGAGACGTTCAAACTGCGTTGTAACGAATTAACACAAGCAAAATAACAATACTTTAACAGATGTGGATACAGTCGAGGTCTCCTCAGCCAGGAGATACAACGTGTTCATACTATCACACACACTCACACAAGCGACTCACCCACACGTATCCCTCTAGTTGTCGGATACCACCCAGCCACTCGCTCGATATCTTCTATTTTTCACAAACACACATTCTCTGATCCTCCCAACTTTGAGCTACTTTTACAATATATACCTCTCGTTGGTCCCTTATTTTCCACAAGATCGTCGAGAACGAGCCCTGCAGGGGGCTATCTTGACAGGGTCTAGCCCGCCCTCTCCGCGGTACATTTGAATCCAATTACAAAATGGCTGCATGAAAGGTGAGCGCTCGAGTCGACGATCTTGAGGACAAATAGGGGACTGTGAACAGTGTATCAATGTTATAATTGATTGCTGAACTAATTATTTATCATGTTAGCCAAGGGGAATTGTAATAAAACAGTCATTTCTTTAGGTTCCGAAGGTTCCGCCGGTTCTGCAGCTTCCGCTGTTTCTCGGAATGCAGTTCCGCAGATTAGTCTTACCCACCTAATAGTAGGTAGCAGCTCCTGGAGACCCCAAACAATACTAAAACAATTGGAGGAATGACATGTCATTCATTGTTTCCTGCGACCAATTAGGAGACACCTTCCGAGCAGCTCCTTTTTGTGCGCTAAATCTATAGAGCGCTTTCACTCACGTGGCCAGTATCTATGCAAATTTATTGAGACAAAAGAAAGAATTTACATAAGAAAAGGTCTCGACTCCCAGAGGATTTTCCAGGTACACCATCATGGCCGCCGTTTCATTGTTTTGGAACACCAATATGGCCGCCGTGACGTCATGTGAAAACGCTCTATTGCTTTTTTAATGTTTATTTTTATTTGCGTGGCTTCGCGCACAAGTTCTCGATTTCGTGTTATATTTCGTGTAGTTTCTTAAAGTTTTCTGGATATCAGTTTCAGTTAAAAATACTCTGTTAGGTGTTGAATAAGAATTCATTTAGAAATGTCAGAACAAACGTCAAAATCGGGATTTTTCTCATCCCGATCTCATTTTGGTCTGGATTCGGGATTTTCAAGCAAATTCGAGGGAATCCCGACGAAATCGGGACGTCTGAAAACGTGATTGCAAATCTCTCTATCTGTAGCTAGTGCCTGTGTGTACATCCATTCAATAAAGACCTGACGGACGTCTCTCAAGCTATCATCGTCTCTTCTTGTGAGTGCCTTCTTCAAATGATGGTAGGATAGGTCGTTTTAGAGGCGTTGAAGCTTAATTAAACCGTTTAATAAGTGTTTTCTCTCCCAAAATGAGAAGGCAAAATTTCTCCCTTTTTACTGCAATTCTCTCTCTGCGTGTGAAAAGTCATTCCTTGCCAGAAACTGATGCTCACTGTAAATCGCCGCGTCAAATATAGAGAAATATTCACCTGGATTGTCCAAAAAGGCTTTAAACACAACAGCAGACAAAAACAAAGCTAAAACGTTATTTGCTTTGTAAAGGAAACTACTGCTATATAACAGTATTTTAGACAGTAAAAGTTGACTCTGTCATGTCACGTTTTATTAGCGTATAGCCTGTGAAAACAGCCGTTTCTCCTCGCTCGTCGCCGCTGGGGAGGTTTCGATGGGGTTAAAATGAATGATCTATCATTTCAACTTATCTAAATGAAAAAAGACTGAGTCAATTATTTGAAATACCAGGTAAAATAAAAGCAATGAAACTGGGACAAAAGTGTAAACCTTCTTAGATTAAGGCTTGGATAGGGCATTAAAGACCTCCCCCTTCCCGCTTAAACACATGACGTTAAACACAAGATTCAAATTGAAGTCTTAATCATAACAATTTTTCCCGGAGAGAAGAAAGTACGAAATTTCTTCAAATTGAAGAAAAAACATTTGAATGTCCCTTTTGTCACAGACCTCGTCCCCGCGAACACGTCCTCGGCGTTTTCTTAATAGCGGTAACTGTAAAGCAGAGTAATGCTCAGATAATGCTATCTATGATTTGACCAGATCGAAAGGTTGCAAAGTTTGTTTCAAGAATATCTGAGTGACGATACACGATGCTGATGGGCCTCACCCGATTGTTCGGACCACTGAATTTTTTTTATTTGGGTAGCAAGGGTGACGCAGTGGTGAGAGCACTCACCTCCCACCAATGTGGCCCGGGTTCAAATCCCGGCGTCGACGTCATATGTGGGTTGAGTTTGTTGTTGGTTCTCTCCTTTTCTCCGAGAGGTTTTTCTCCGGGTGCTCCGGTTTTCCTCTCTCCTTAAAAACCAACAATTCCAAATTCCGATTCGACCAGGAATCAGGTAGACGAAGAACCACTTTGTGGATGTGCTACCTCCAAATTATTATTTATTTATTTATTTATTTTACCCTGGAAAGTTCGTACGTGGCGAGGTTTAGACCCCAGAAGGTCTTTCCGTTTGTTAATATTATGAGAATCTGCTCGTTTCGTTGCGACTATTCCACTCAAAGTTGCAACAGCAGAAATCTCCTTCTGCAGCAGTGTAAGACACGCGACACATAGAGACACATACTTGAATCTACGCTCTGAAGATGTTGCACTACTCTATGTCGGTAACATCTTCGAAGGGAGGCTGGATTCCTGCCCATTTTGCTTCACTGTTTGTCTTGCTCACTGGGATCACATCCATGATCTCAGAGCTGCAGCTGAGATAACGCAAATATTGCGCAGACCGAATAGAGACGTTTAATCGTGTGAACACACAGGTTCTTTATATTACTGGTTCACACGGTCTCTTGCTCAATGGGATCTTGTTCAAAACTTGGAGGAGTCTCTGGAAGTGCCGTGGAAAGGTCACTTTGATAAAGCTGTTCGTTTGATGTGTCACTCGAATTATTGGGTAAATTTTGTTCGCCTTCTATTTCGAAAGATTCTGTTTTGGTCATCAAGCATGCCTTCTTTTCTTCTTTAAATATTTCTTGGGCATCACTAGTTTTGAGTTTCTTTCGTGGTACTTCATCTATGTTTTCTTTACCTTTCTTTACGTCATCTTCACAAACATCCAAGAAAGAGTACTGCAGATCGAGGAAGGACTGAAAGATAAAGGTTATTTATGATAGTATTAAAAAACGAAATTAAGAGTATTATTTTTTCAGATTAATATCAGCTTTTAAAAATTTCAAGAAAGAATGTGGTGTAAAAAGTCATTTGAAAGAAAAAATTCACGAACTTTGCTTGACACAGTACTACAAACATTTCAGTTGTCAAGTTGTACTAAGTTGTATTATTACTGGATATCTCTTCTTATCATATCGCCCAAAGTAAAGTAATCCAAGACAGTCTTAGATTTGTCGATTCTACGCTGTGGACCCTGGATTCCTTATCAGTGGAACTTGAATTCCGGATTCCAATCACAAGCGGGATTCAGGAATCCTTAAGCTGTATTCCGGATTCCAAAGCCCAGGATTCCTGATTCTACAAGAAAATTCAAGAAAACATTTTCCGAACTCCGGTTCACCTTATTTGAGATGAGGGATACGAGTTTTAACACTAAAAGAGTAAGTAATAAAAACGTAAGATATTTTGGAATGTGTTTGGTCGTCATGTCGCCATACTCACTTTAGTGTAAAGTCCATATATCTGGGATATTTCTTTCATCGTGAGCGAGTCGCTTAGAAGCTCATCAGAACGGATGAGTTCAGCCTGCAAAATAAAGCATTGTTCAAATGAGGCAACCAATTAATCAAAAAAAATTAGGTCAACGATCAGTTAATCAGACTATTCTTAGGCTAGACAGTTACATAGATGCCATTTTAATCACTCATAGTCACTTAGTAAGTTCGTCCTCCAGCCAGTTGGTCAGTAAGTCAGTCGCAGATGTTATGGTAATCTCTCATTCATATGGTCATATGGTCATATGGTCAGTCCGTCAGTCAGTCAGTCAGTCAGTCAGTCACTAAGTCCGTTCGACAGTCAGCCAGAACGCCAGTCAGTCAGTCACAATCAATCAGTCAGACAGGCTGATTCAGTTAATCAGGCAGCCAGCCAATCATTCAGAAAGTCAGTCAGTGAGCAGTTACTCAGTAGCCAGTTTGCCAGCCAGTTGGTCGAGTAAGTCTGTCAGCTTGGCAACACAACCGTCAGCCAGTAAGTCATTAAGCCAGTCCTTCACTCATCCAGTTTGTCAGCAGCAAGTCGGCAGCAAGTGACTCAGTACTTAGTCATTTAGTCAGTTGGACAGTCAGTAAGGTCAGTCGTTCGAGTAAGGTCAGAGGAAATTCATTATTAGCAATCATTTAGAATTCAGTAAACAGTAGTAGATAAAGAAAGCAGTCTGTCACTCAGTGCACCAACAGTCAACAGTCAACAGTCGATAGTATGTTACAGCATAATTTAGTTTAAGGCTTCGTTTTAGTCAGAAGGCGGTCGGTTATACCTGATGAGTGTTAGGAATTGCGAACTTCATCTTCAGAAATTTTTTCAACACATTAACAGTAACTGCGGATGGACATCGGAGATAACGAGTCGGGAATATCTAGTTAAACAACAAAGATAACATAAATGACGCTTCAGTGTAAGAACCACAATATACCCGGTCACTATATATATTATACGACTAAATAAATAAATAAATAACCAACAACAGGAGCAGCTAGGAGCCTATGACCCGGTAACAAAAATTACTTTTAGTGTTGGTCAATCCAAAGGTCCTTCGTCTACCATAATATATAGATTTAGCCAGAGCTAAAAGCGAAGCTCTCGATAATATTTATAGTTTGTTCAAACAAAATATAAAATCGTGTAATACTAAGCGGCGAAGGCAACGAGAAAGGTGAACAAACAACAATAGGTCTACTCAGCAAAAGATCAACTCTGCACGTGCAGCACAGTTTCTTTGCCGTTGTTTTGCACGACTACAACGTGAAACTTCTAGAAACTTTCTAGTAAAAGGTTTGTGGAGGAAATGTCGTACGAATTCTTGTTCACTTTTTTTTTTATCACTGCCGCTCATTCACCTCGCTGGCCGCAAGCATTTTCCATTTTCTCCCCACCGCTACAAAATTTTCACGTTGTTCTTTCAGCAAAAAATGTCTCCCTTGTTTTTTATCTCTCTTGCTTGCTCTCTGTCGCTCTTTTTTCTCGTTGATCTTCGCTGGCCTGTCGCCTACTTTCTCTTTTTCCCCGCCTTTCTCTTTCTCTATTTCCAAATTTGTGGACATAACAATTAATATAAGCTTACTACTCGAGACAACACGGATACAGAAACAATTTCCTCTTTCTGTTTTCGTCTTTATTGACTCTTTAGTTGCCTCGGCTTCACAATACGCGGGTGGCTATGCGATTTCCCGCCAAATTAACCTCGAGTTGCATTTGGGTTGCCATACCTGTTGATTGAGTTATTTTACATTGGTATGGCTGTGGTGCGGACGGACAGCGGGCGGACGGGCGGACGGGCGGACGGTCAAGTGATAACCAAAATTTATCAGATGGGTAGATTAGCATTTTCTTAGGAATGGGGCTACGCTCGCCCGCGCTTCGCGCGCTTAGAGCTCCGCCGGCTATTTCTAATAACTATCTTGATGGAGTTACATAACTTCACGCTAACTGTGCTTTTACTTTTACATTATTATTAATGATATCATCATTATTTTTATAATAATAATAATTATTATTGTTATTATCTTCATCATCATCATCATCATCATCATTACTGCTATCATCATTATTATTATTTTGTCAAATCATAAAGAGCGTTCTCACTCAAAGAAGCCATGGAAATGTATTGGAAAAATTGTTCAAATGAGGAAAGAGTTCAACAATTGGTACCGTGCCGTTTCGCGTCAGACTTCACGCGAAAGCGCTCTATGGATACGTTAGAATGAACAACAGGATATCTTAATGAGAAATACACTAACATCGCTTATTTACCGTTTAATAAGTTCTTAAGATGTATTGGAGCTCAGGATAGTTGGAACTGATGCTTTCGAGTGATACAACTGACAGCAAAAGCCGCCTTTTGAACAAAAGACACTCTCTCACAACTGCCAAATGCGCATCAAGATCAGTGCAGAGGTTAGGAATAGCAAGAGTAAATGATATGATGTGTTGTGCTTTGTAAGTCAGTCAACAAAAAATCGATAGATGTGTGGTGTCTAACGAAACTTACCTGACGTTCATTCCAGTTCCTTTTCCTCCTATAAACAACAATGCATGGTTATAAAGTGACAAATGTAGGCGAGGATATTCTTGGTCAGTAACCATGTGACATGGCGACCATGTTAGTTAACAAAATCCATCGTTTTCGTAAAATGTGCTTGTATAAAGAGTTTTATTAGTTCCCAGGGTCGGAAAACGCTTTTGTACCTGGTCTTGTCATCCAACATGGCCGCCGTGTCGTCAGATACACGCCAGCAATGTTCACCCAAGGGAATAAGCTCAAAAAACCAGTGAAAGATATTCGGGCATATATTGCCTGTTGACGAATCGGGAACGGATTTGAAGCCATGAGTACCCAAGCGTGCTTGTACCATATCCTTTGAACTAAGAACAGACTCACTTTAAGCAAGTACATTTATTAGACTGGCCATTAGCCGGCGAACAAGCTCTTCACGGCGCTCTTCCCTCCCATCCCCGTGCCCCCGAGGAGAGCGGCTTGTTTGCAGGCTAACTGGCCAGTCTAATAAATCCTTTTGCTTATTTAACTACTTACACTGCTCATCCAGTTGTCAATAAGACTGAGGTCTGAGATATGAACGTGAAAAGACGAACTGATACGAAAATACCTCCAATTAGCACTACTCGAGCTGAGATAGCGCTTGACATACTAACCTGTAGTATTCTAGAGTGATGCATATAGGATCTTCCATGCTCGCCTCAACACCGTTTTTCTGTTTCGTTCCAGTATCATTAGGCATTTCTGGTCTAGTTTCATCTGTGAGAATAAAAAGACGAGAAGAACGTGAAACGAAACACACTCTTTTAAGTATTACGTTTTCATAGAGTAAAACATATTTAAACAAGACAAATGTTAGAACGAATGAGTAATAAGAGTGACGTTACCGATTCCTGCAGTGGCGAGGAATTCTCCCCTTTCTTTTGAAAATGTCTCGATAATTTCAAAACATTATTGTGTGGAGGCCGGAAAACTATTAATTTTTCCTGGGTATCTTTCCTATAACCGGGCCGCTACATTGATAAAGTGATAACTCCATTTCTTTTTTAATTTTGTGTTTTCACTCGTCATTCCTTGTGCGTGTTCTTTCTGGTGTGTACTCTTGCCGGCATGGAAACTAATAGAGCCAGATAAAGACGATGTCGTGTTTCACAGCAGCCAACAGATAAAGACCTTCAGGTCAACTTAAATCTAGGAAGTCTGATTGAGTTTAAATGGTTATACTTAATGTTGGAGTAAAATGGAACATACCGTAAAATTCCGAAAATAAGCCCCTCCAAATATAAGCCCCCCAAGCTCGTATTAAACGCAAAAACCCCTCCGTTAAATCACCCCTCCGAATATTAGCCCCCCGGGGGCTTGTACTTGGAAATTGCCCTCAAATACAAACTAAAATAAAGCAAAAACGGCCAATTTACTTCCAACTATAAGGCTAGTCCAATCGATTTAGAAACGCAAATTTCCCTCCATAGATAAGCCCCTCCGAATATAAGCCCCTCCAAAACTAAGCCTCTCAAAAGGGGCCTTTGAAAAATATAAGCCCCGGGGCTTATTTTCGGAATTAAACGGTATTTACCACGCACCACTGTGGTAACACATGATGCCAGTTCTTTAAGAATTACTTTCAAATAACTCCTTCTAGAAAGCCAAATGCCAAGCTCGCATGTTAAATCGGTTTTAAAAAATATATATACTGTATTGTATATTTTCCTTTAGGACAGATTTTTGACCTGTGTTTTCTTCATCTTTCACTTTGTCTGTCTTGTCGTGGAATTCCTGACGGCGATTGAGTTCGTCTGAAAAAGAAAACAGATATCAACCTCCTCGCCTTTTTTTCACTCCAATCTACTTGCGTTATATATATATTACCCTGCTCTACATCAGGTCTGTTGACGAAGTAACACCTTTATGTGATTTATTTCATATACATCTATCATTAACACCTCTAGTTAGTGGGACTATTCAAATGAACGGTGTCAAAAAAATTCTCTCGTTTGGCACTTGACCGTACAGTACAAAGGGATTCTTAGCTTTTAACTCTGTTAGAGCTAGTATCTTGTTTTATTAAATGTAAATGTTTTTTCTTTGTTTTATTTTTTCTCTACAAAAATATCAAGGTGGTAATATACAAAAGAGTGATCTGAAAGTGTGGCCATTCAATGCCGGCATGGATGGCATTTTACTCTTGTACCTTCATCCGTTTTTAAGACAAAATGAATCAACGTTTGTCCTTTTTAATCAATTTTAATCACTTTAGTTTGAGGGCAGTCTAAAAAAAATGGTTGTTCAAACAATTTATTAAGTCTAGAAACGGTGGAAAAGCCAAGAATCAGTCCTTTCCGTATCAAACTTCAAGGCAAAACTAGATGGTGATCACACAAAATACGATATACCCAGGTACTTTAAATCGTTTTTTACACGTACCAAACACCATCCCTGGAACAAGCTTGTTGACAATGTCTTGAAGAGGGCGGTCGGGTCTTAAAAGAAGAAAAAACAGAAAAGTTATAACTTAATCATAGATATGAAAATCGAAAGTTTCGCAATTTGAATTTCGTTTTTCTGCCCAAAGCAGCGTTTTCAACCACAGTTCATGCGGTAAGGGAAAACTAAATAATCTGTGCTTCGTTAAAAGTGCGTGGCTCTTAAGGCGGCAAAAAGGGCTGCTACAGACAAGCGGGGCGTTTTACCAGTTACCGCCTAAACGCCGTAGTTAATCGATAAAGCGATAATCGATATTAATCCATAGTAATTGATGTCAATCATCGATGAATATCGATTTCCAATATCGATCGATAGAAATCGACAACGAAAAATAGTTGTGACTTCGATAAATATCGATGCTTTTCCGGTAGAAATCGATGATGATTTTTTATCGATTGTTATCGATTACTATGGATTGATATCCTATATCGATTTTTATCGATTAACTACGTATGGCCAAAGGATGAAAGTTTGTTAATTGCTTAAAGATCATGGAATAACTAAAACGTAACCAGATTGCGACATAGCTGAACTGAGATTTCAGGGTCTTAAGGTATTGGAGGTCTCCACTACACAATCTACAAGAATGGTAAATTATGATAACCGTGTAAATGGCAACGGCTGTTCGTCACTGGGTCCTATCTCCCGCGCATAACGATCAGGAATTAATCATCGTTTGCTTTCTCTCAGAATCGTGATTTGCATAACTCCTTCAAGCATTGACTTTTCTGCACCCGAGGGCTATAATGGACAATACATGTCATAAACTTGTTAAGATTCATCATTCTGGTCAGCTTAGCGCAAACAACAAAATTGTCATCGTTTACTCGCTACCCTAAGCTTAGTTTGTTCATTTTATTTTTTCTTTTTTTTTATGTAACTTCAACTTGAACTTTCGTGTGAATAAAGACATTCTTACTACAGTGAAACCTCGATATAACGAACCTCTATATAACAAAGTCCTCTATATAACGAAACCTCTTTATAGTGAACAGATTTTGCCAGTCCCTTGAGCCTTCGTTATATCGAGGTATCCACTGTATGATAAAGTGTGGAATGTTTTAGCGGCTCCGGATTTGTTAACTTCCGCGTTCGTTATATTTAGAATATAGTTAGTTGACAATAGTCGCTGGGAATTTCGGGAGAAGCCTGCAATTTTACCGCCGGGTCAACTTACGACTCTAGTACTTCTATTTTAAGTAGTATAACTGCAAAGAACGTCAGTCTTACATTCTATTTCCTTTGTCACGGCCACCTTTTCTAAAACATCAGATGGTTGGATTTACCGTGACGCCATTAACAAACTTACTTTCGTACATGATTGATTTCATATATTAACAAAAAACAATTCGACTTACATAAGTAGTCATTCTATACTCACCGAATGTGTAAAAGAGGTTTGGTTTTGTGGACTTCGGCATCACAAACAGGGCAGTGAAACGAGGTTTGAAGATATTTTACGATACAACTGCGACAAACTGTAGGGGAATCGACATTAAACAAAACATTTTATGATGCTATTTTTTGAATATAATTATCAGCCTTGATTATATAATAATACAGTTATTCGAGGCTGAACGTTGAGTAGCTTCCTTTAATCAACTTGACTACATATACTACAAAAATTACCAAAATATGGAGATAAACTCCTTTTTTTCGCTAAACGGCAAAGCGCTGTGCCCTGTCAACACAGTCTCACAACCATACGTTGAGGTGATTCGATATCTGATTGCAAATGCTTCCTGAAAATTCTTTGCTTTGGGCCAGTTATCAGTTTTAACGAAGAGCTAACTAAAAAAGCAAATTTGTTCGAGTTCTCTTTTTAACCAAATGTTCCTACAGAGCACGCATTTTACGTTGACAAAATCATGTCAATAAATAGTTATAAATCGCACTAGATACACACTCAACTCAAGTAGCAACAAGCTTGGATTGAATGCTTTACAGGATTAACAGCGCCAACAGACACAGCTCTTGATCATCGTTTTTAGTTCGTCTTGGCGAAATACAAGCGTACACTTACATGAATGAAGGCACTCGATGATAGTCGTGGCGTCCACCAAATATCCACCACACAACACACACATGATATGAGGATTGAGTTGTTGTAAGGGCATCTTAAGAAGCGACATAGCTGGTGATGCAATGGAGGATCACGGAAGTGAAACCTTTTATGATGATGCTTTAGGCCTACTTCCGTCTGTCTCAGATGCGCAGGAAGCTAATGATAACTGAAAATGGAAGCAAAATAACCGTAAGAAGTAGAAAAATTCAGCCTGCAAATGCCATGCAAGGAAAGTAGGATAAATATAAAGACACTGAACTGAAATTTCAAAGAAACATATTGGTACTTTACTAAAGGGAAGTGTCTAAGCATACGAAGTAAAGGACAGTGTGGCCTGGCGAGTCCAAGGTCCGGTTCTTCTCACGTGTTGAGATTTGCAGGTCTGTGAAACATTCGCAGGCGCTCAAATAGAAATGGAAGTTTACGCCAAAATTGTGCTTGAAAAGATTTCTCCACGCCGCAACCATTTCTAAACGACTCTTCGCGCAATCTTGTTAAAGTAAGCTGTAAGTTATTTAGAAGACACTTATATTTAACACAATAAATATATCTGTAAAAACAATACTATCACCACGGATCTAAAACTATTGAAAACCAAGAGATATATGCCGGCCTCTCACGGCGATGTTCTTGCTCCAAGAACCATACTTTTTCGTTTGCTTCCTTATAATATGTTGTTGTGCATTTTTTCCTGTGCATGTTACCGCCGAAACTGGGCGTTAAAAACATCCCACTACATGCGCCATCTTAAAGAAGCTTGCATGCTATGACACTGAGCGACTGCAAAATGGGAAAGCCTTGTAGTACTGTAAAGCGGTTTTTCCCACACTGACGAAGGGACGTAAACCCGAAACGTTTGGGTTGTTTTAAAAACATTTGACACTTTTTGAAAATCACCTCATCAGCTTTCCAAGCCTTGTTTAAGCCTACTCTAACTGTGTTCACAACTTCGCTTCAGTATCTTATACAATAAACTCTCTTAAGTTTCCGTCATGGAGACAGGAGCGTTTGAATTATCGGGAATCAAACGAAACGACAAAAGAAGTGCAGGAATCAACACCAGGGCCCAGTTGTTCGAAAGCCGATTAGCGCTTAACCCGGCTTTCTTTTTCTGGCGTTCAAAAGCATTTTGTCGGGTAATTTTCTATGTTATTTTTAGAGCTTCCAATCATCAACAAGTAGACAAAAAGAATTAAAACTGAAATACTTTTTAAGCTTTCAAATCTGAATTCAAATCTCGCACTAACCGTGGGTTACCTTAACCCAGCTTTGAACAACTCGGCCCTGATGTCTATTTTAGGGGGGTGTTCGTCTTGATGAGGATGTCTTAAGAGCGAGAGTTAAAAACTCACGCTGAATACCTGTGAAATAGTTCGCTTTTGGCAGTATTCGTTCTTCATTTATCATCCATCCCAAGGTAGTAACAGGAGCGATAATCAATTATCAAACGGCTTTGGGAAAAAATTTTGACGAATAAATGCCCAGAAAAGAAATACGAAAAATTTATATAGCATTTCTCTTAAATGGGAGGCACTTTTTGAGTTTTCGCTTGCAAGTATGAAGGATACTAAATAATAGCATTTAGCTTAATGTAGAAAATGTAAGGAAATATTTTTGTGGGATTGCATTGTTAAAAAAAGGTTTAAAGGTTTGTTTACAGTGGAAAGTGCTCGTAGCTTATCCAGTTAGTTTACACGCACTCCACTCAAATAATTCTGAAACAAGTAATGCAAACATAGCAGATTTTGTAGAAAGAGTTTGTAACAGCGAACAACAGTTATAAATGCACGTGTCTAACAAGCAAGAGCTGTACAAAAAGAAGCACTCATGCGTTGGAATTAGACAACAGCTAACAATCATATCAACTGGTAAACTTAATTACATTTAAGTTTAGCCCGATATTGTTGAAAAATGTTGGAGAAAAACAGAGCCAAACCGGGTACATTTAAGCGTGTAAAAATAGCCAATTTTCCTCTTTAGTCTTCCGTCGTGGTTTCTAGCCGACGTTAACGTTTGGTTCTAATCTTAGTTTGCCGGCTAAATTTCTAAAGGTTCTTCTCGCACATCTTTCACTTCAACTTTTCAACGGGAGTGTCTTCAGATTGTACTAGAAGAGCTGCCAGCTTGTGCCGAGAACGGGAAATATGTTTATTGCGTCTCAGTGCGCTAAGCTATGTCCGTTTATTTTTTTATGATTTTCCTTTTCAAGATAAATTCCTTAACCTCTTGAAACATTTGGTAATAGAATTACATCGTCATCGTTAAAATATCCTGAAAATATTTTCAACCTAAACTTTACCGTGGGTCATCACAAAAGCACGCGATAATTGATCAGCCGAACACTAAGACTGATTAACTTTAAAAGAAAGCGGACTATTTTCACTGAGTATTGGTCATCTAAGTTCAAAAGATTTTCCACTGTAATGTATTTCTTTGGTTACAGCTCTCAATATCCCAGCCTCTCCACAGTAAATGTTGAATGTCTAGTCGATTACTTGTTCTATTTAAACTATACAGTGAACTGGTGTAACGAAAACTTCAAATACCCGCTGGTGGTATTCGATGTTCTCCGACCAGTGCTTAGAAAATAACTCCGTTCGCTTAATTCTCTGACTAACAAAATAGAAAGCCAGAATTTCTAGAATATATAGAAGACCAAGGCAAATAAATGGTTCAAGTCTGGTATGTAAATTTATCACAACGATATCCAGCGATGATATGCTCAAATGGTCACGTTGTCAGTAATAGCTTGAAATGCATGCCGTTAAAGAAATCGCCTGGTTTCGTCAAGTATTCCGGTACATTAAAGCTTAAATTCGTCATGATTTTCTGTAAGTGGTAAGATAAATCTATTATCTAACGTAGGACAACAAATCAAAATTAAATAAGGGGAACAACATGTACAAATTACCTCATATTCGTGGCGGTCATTGTCAGAGCACACCGTCAAAGAGTTTCACGAAGTAGGCAATTATGCGATTGTCACGTGACAGCTCGTCCCAGCCTCCCCCGAATTCTTTTTTGCACATGGCGCTAAATGCTTCTAACCTGTAATCAGGCTCTATTTTCGTTTATTGAAGCTGCTAAAATTGGGCCTGATCTCAGGTTCTCGTGGCCCAAAGTAGCTGTTAAGAGGGCAGTTTAATTCTGTGAGTGTTACAATACTTAACAGTGAATTGAACTGTAACAGAAACAAGTCATTCCGTGACCGCTAACCTATATCTGTTGATGGTTATTAATTAAATCTGGCAAAACGTCACGTTTAATCATGTTTTGTTTTAAGACGGAATCCATCAGGAAATTGAGTAAAAAAGCGGGGCTTGAACGACATTGAACATTTTTACCGAGACCATATCGCATTCTTTTTACACCAGTTTTCAAATGCTAAAGATGTAATGAGCTAAATGAGATAACTCCAAAGAAAAGGTTCTTATGGGTGTGTTATGGGAGCCCGAGAGAAGAAAAACTTCCAAAGCCTTCACAAAATGAAATCTTGCGCATGACGATTTCGCTTGTGTTTTCTCAATTCCTGTAGAATTTGACATTTATTTTCTCCGGGCTCTCAGCATTGCAGTATTCTGCTTGCAGAATTTAATATGTCTACTTTTCTTCATAGTTATTTCATTTAGCTCATTACATCTATAGCCCTTAAAAAGTGTAAAAAGAGAATGCGACATGGTCTCTATGAAAATGTTCAATATCGGTCAAACTCCTGCCTCATACCCAGAAGTATCATTTGCGCACAAAGGAAGGCGGGAAGGAGAAAACGGGCCTTGCGCTTCCTCACCAGTCAGTTGCGTTTCGCGCTCGCCTCTATGCGAAACAATGTGCGCAACCATGTGAAGAAAGCAGCGCCTGAGTGGGAGGCTGGGTCAAACCCCGCTTTGCGGACACCCCTACGGACACTTCATCCTTACACGCAGTTTCCTTTGTACCTGGGGAAAGTAAGCCCTTACATTTTCTCTACCCGCTTAATACGGACACTTTTCGTAGCCCCCAAAGTGTCCGTATCAACGTTTAACGAGGATTGACTGTATTTTAATAGGTAAGGTGCATTAAAATCGTCAATAGAACTCAGTATTAATAAATGCTTACCTTGCCTGAAAGCGCTCGTGTTTTTCTCCTTTCTCTTGTATCCACTTTCGTGGCAAACAGTGTTGGTTTTTGTTCGTTCTAACTTTTCCAACAACAAATCAATAAAAAAAGAGAGGTGACCTCCAAAAATTTAGCGGGTGGGAACGAGAAACATTTTTTTGTTTGTTTTGTTGTTGTTATTGTTATTTGTTTTTACTCGGCCTAACGTGTTTTCTAGCGGCTCACATCGCTCTACACACGAAATGAAAAGCTTGGTACCCTTAAAAATGAGACCCGTCAAAGGAGGGTTTCAGAGACAACAGTGTAACTTTCTTAGTGCTTGTGCATGTTTTGTGCATGTTCTCACAGCAGTAACATCTACATAAGCATAAGCACAGAAAGAACAGAAGATAAATCATGCTACGCTATTTGTGTTCAATTTGTGTTCAGCGTTCATGTGTTGTGCTTTAGGTACGATAAAAAGGGGAAACAAAAACATGCTACTTGCTGTGAAACATTACTGCAAAACGAGTTAAAAAGCGATGTTGCGCGTTTTACAACCCACGTTCAAACCTGTCTTGCAACAAATCAGGATGTTGCAGGTTGCGAAAATTTATTGCAGAAAGTAGAGCGTAGCTCTACTTTTTGCAACACACTCTGTACATCTTGCGCGTTTTAGCGGCCCAAGACAGCAAGTGACGAAACTCCCGTGTATGGCGTGGTTCCCGCGTAATTTTATCTAATCATAGTCAGTATTCACGCAACTCGACGCAACCTTCATTTGTTGCGAGGCAGGTTTTATTGTGGGTGGTAAAACGCACAAGACGCGCACCATCGCTTTTCTATTCGTTTTTAAGGCAATGTTTCGAAACAAGTTGTACGTTTTTGTTGCCCCTTTTACGAGGACCACGCATGATCTTTTACCAAGACGAAGCTCGGCTCCGTCAACATGCCATCTGGGTAAGAAATTAGACCAGGCATAGATCTTCAGTTGATCAGTACTTCCAGCCTCGTTCCCGGGTGTCCTCGGCGATTTTGAATGTGACGTCACCTGTCATGCATGTCGGAAGAATTCGCGCTCGGCTCCAAGCCTCCTCCCGCTTACTCGAATAGCGCGAACAGGCCTGAGGACGAGGCTGCGGTGCTTCCTCTCGAACTTTTTTAGTTCAGTTTCAGCGTTACAGTATCACATCAATCATTGCTAAATTCAGGCATGGAAGGAATAGCACCATAACTTTATTATAAAACTTCACGCGAAAGAAAAGAAGCAATTCTCATGGCTTCATACATTAAATCCACAGTTTTTTTAATCGTTAATAACGCCTTGATTTGAGCAACCTCAAATTATTAGTTACTTTTATGTAAACACGAAAGAAATTTTTGAGAAATAGCGAATTTGAGAGTACTAGTCAAGATTTCATAACCATAACCATAAAACTCCTTTCAAAACGAAATAGTGTGAAGTAAATACGCCCACACAGACGCTTCGTTTTTCCCAAACGCGAGTTCGCTGTGTGTAGACAAACTTCGCTAGGGTCTTCGCTCAGACCTAGTGAGCCCCTCGCGTTTCTCTCGCACCTAAACTCCCTTTCCCTTCCCTTTCAAACGCCTGCCACGCAGGCTAAGCGAAAGACAAATGAAATCAATTTTTGACTGACAAGTACAGGATAATTCTACAAAAGGAACGTGCTAGTTTCCCAAGAAAACGAAGGTATATCTATTTGCATAACTTTTATAACCTAGTTTTCTTATTGCATATGAATATGAAAATATTTACTTCACAAGAAACATATTAACATCCCTCCCTTGGATAAAGGATAGCACATGCATTGGTAGCTCTCTCCGCTGACAAATTCGCAGTTTAGTGAAGGTGTTACCAAATAGAGTGACGCAAAAACGGGAGTAACCAAACTTAAAGGGCCAGATATTTAACTGAGTTTGGCCAGCGTTTAACAAAACCGCGTTCCAAGCCGTTTTCAGTTTGCCGAACGCTTCTATGTAAACACTATCTATCGTGAACAGTTTCATGAAAACATGTAGTGTTGACTAGAAAAGCATTTGTCTTTTTAAAATAACCCACTAAGGAGGAGATCTATCTGTCCAAAGATTTCCTAAACCGCGGTCTAAGTTAAACTTCGTTTAAATAACTGACCCAAAAAATCCAAAAGAATTTTTTTTTTGAAAACCTGCGACCACGTTGGGGCGGTTGTCGTCTGAATTTCCCCCTAAAGTCACTTTCCCTGTTATTTTATGTATTTTTCTTCTGTCTCAAGTTTTCCATCACGCAAGTATTCCCCTTTACAAACTGTTGTCGAGATTCTACCCTTCAATTCTCCCCCTCCCACTTTAAAAGACATCTCGTTAACGCGACTCCCGTTTTGTAGTATTTCACCTTTAGTTGAGGAGGGGGGGAAGGAGGGACGGAGAAGAAGAGGAAAAAGGTAAAAAGTAGCAGCCTCTCGCTTCCCAACACTTTGACGATGACTGTAGCAATCAATTGTTGAGGATTGTTCTTAGACGTTCCAATTTTCGAGTCTATGCTTAAATTCATTGGTCTGCCCATTCAAATTTGGGCGAAGTTTTAACATCGAGCATCTCACTTTGCTGCATTTTACCAAATGAAACTTACTAGGGTCAGTTTCTATAACGCTGTCATCAGAACCACGCGAAAGAGCTAGTAAGAAGCATAAATTATAATAACAATAACTATTATAATTATTATTATATAGACACCGATGAAATACCAGGATATTTCCAGAGACGAAAATTTGGTATCCAGTGAGGATACAATTTTTATCTTTCACATGTGAAGATATCACGGTTGTCATGGCTCACAGCATCTCGCCATCGGTGTCTATATGATAAACAGAATATTACATGCCCGCTTGTGGATACAAATTTTATCTTCTCGTGTTCAACTCGATATCTCACGAGTGAGCACAAATCTATTTATCAGACTACGAAATCATGCTCTGAGATGCATATCCCTATCTAAATACCCACATATGCTCAAAAATTTCTCTTAAACGGTGATTAAGCTACCAACCGCATCGCTAAGGATAAATATATCTCAGTGGTCTACAATATGGAAATAGAAGTTTAATGCGGTCGTTACTAAAAAAAGTAGCTCCTAACAATACCATATAATCACTGTCAGTCTGTTGCTCAATAGACAGTGGCTAACAATTGCCTTCTAGCCTCACCCCATATCAAAAACCCTGATTAGAATTTAAAATATTTCTATTTTTTTTTTCTCCTCCTTTCTCTGTATGAAAGTCTGGAGGAAGGTAACTAATAACAAGTCACCTCCTTACACGCGCGCAAAACAAGTGGATTCTGATCAATTTAACACTTCAAATAGACGAATTTTTACAGGAGTTCAGTTTTACACGCAGTATTTCAACAACGAAACAAGTACGAAGGTGGTCTAATTCTTCAAATCTTCGACAGAAACTAGAAACGAGACTTTTGAAACATCAAGTAGTGCAACGTATAGCCTAACGACTTACAAGCCCAAAAAAGACTGTACTGCGTATATGAGTAAAAGGTTTAAAATTCAATTATAATCCTAGCAAAGCCTTGTGATTAGAAATAATTAGATGTAAACATACTTATATATTTGTCGTAATTTTTATGCTTTCTTCTCCGATACACATTACGCCACAAAGGAAACTTTTGTCCTCACTAAAACTGCTATTATTATACGAATGTTGAGACAAAACAATACAGGGCACGTAGGCCCCAAAGTTAAGGTATTTCAAAGAAGAAACCCTTTGGAGATTAAACACACTTGACAGCCAAATGTTGTCACTAGCTTTTTTTTAACCACTCAAGGATGAACAGAGAGCTGTAGTAATGTTTTGTTTAGCAAAAATGAATAAATGTCATTTCTGTTACTACGCAGAAAAGTAAACAAGAGAAAAAACTATTTTCGTGCCTTTGGCTTTGATGTTAACGCTTTACCGGCGACATCTTTATCAGGAACGAAGGTGACTTGGGTGGAGGAACGCACAGAGGATCTTGTTGGGGTTTTTCGACGTTTTCTTGGGGGGCTTCCATCTTCGTTGTCTGATGCTTCTGAAAGAAACCAGGGACTTGGTTCAATTCATGATTTACCCTGAGCCTATGTATAAGCCCCACCCATAACATGCAAACCAAATTTACAGCTTGGTGTTAAGAAAAACAAAAGAAAAAAAATAGAAAGAAAATAATTGGACAATGATGGCGTGATGATAAAGATCGCGGGTGGAGAGTATAACCTCCACCCACTTGTAACTGCTCTGTGGTAGCAGCCAACTCGAAAGCTTGGCTCCTTTGGCTGCTAAACTCTTTTTTTCCTTTGTTATGTTTAATTCAAAGTATAGTTAGCTCTATCTTTACTTGAACTTGTTGAACTTGTTCAACTTATCCTAGGTAAGCCTAGGATAAGTGCTTTAAGCTGGATCCTCCAAAGCGAAACGGGGCGCTATACTGCTATTAATCAAACGACCAGAACATGAAATCAATCCTCAATAACGAACTAGAAAGCAAAGTGGAAAAGCTGAAGCACATGAAGCTGGAGGTCATGCAGCCAAAGATGAAAAAAAATTTCAACTACCAGTACCTGAATAGACCACACCGGAACAGTTCTCATGAAGTAATTAAGTGGGGATTAATTAAATATACAGTCTATCATTATTAATTTGGTTGTGAAGAATATTCAGTAAGGAAAGGGGGGGTGGGGGTGGGGGTGGGGGAAGGGAGAGGGCTGAACCTTTTTCCTCTGAAAAAAAGGGGGACTTATTAGAGAGGGGAGGGCAAGGTAAACTTTATTTAAACACTGTAACTCCTACAGGCACAATTACCTTCTATTTTAAGGAAGCCGTGTGTGAAATTACACAACGCTATTGAATTAAGTAATAATCACTATCAAACTTGAGCTTCTTTAACATACATGAAGGTCGATTGTCTGACCTCCAAAGGCAAGCTGTTCCACAGCACACCACCACTATAACAAAGGCTTCTTTTATAAAATTCAGTGCGGGGTTGTGGATAAATGAACTGACATCCATTCCTTCTAAGCAATAGGATATGTGGGGAGTGGAGGTGGGGGGTGGGGGGCGGAAATTTAAGTCCTCTGAACCTAGCTACAGGTTCAAGTTTAAACGTACCTGATGTATTGGGCGATGAAGTTTCTGCCAAAGAACTCACTGGTGTTAACTTGGTGGCAGAAGGTCCCCGCCTGGGAGACTGTCTCCTGGTAGCGAGGTTATTATCATCACCAACAGTGCTACCCTGGCTACTGCTTCTGGTCTCGGTATCAGAGTCACAAGCTGCACCTTGCACTGTGGTGGTTACAGCATCATCAGTGACAGTAGCACTGGACTCATCTGGCAACTCTCCAAAACTACTAATGACTTCAGATATATCAAGAGGCGACATGGCACTGGCTTCACCACCTGAACCATTGCCTGTCATGTCCTTGAGAAGATGATCTAATGCCATATCGCTGGGTAATAAGCTCGATCCTAGGAAATCTAACCCACCAGTGTCCTCACTGCCCATTGAATCTGCACTCACAGATTTACCGCCAGCCTGAGTTTTTCCACATGGGTCAGTGGGTGTGTTAGTGTCTCCAGAAGATGAAGCAGCTGATTCTGTGCTTTCAGTGGACTCTTTCAACTCAGGCTCAGCATCTTCTGAACTTTTCCCTTCACTTTCATTAACCACGTCAGGCACAGAGCTTGGGTGACCTGTGGTATCCTCCCCTGAAGAATCTTTGGCTGAAGAACCCAGAGCTGAAGTGTTATTAACAACAGACACTAAACTCTTGACACTTGTATCTGGTGATTTTCCATCAGGATGAGAAACATCTGTTGTTACTTCTTTGCTGGGTTCTGTTGCTGTTGTACCTGTGTTGCTGTCACTTTCCTGTGTACTCATGATTGGTGAGGTAATTGACTGCACAGCGGAATCAGGCCTCTGTTGATCTCCTACACAATGCAATGAACAGAATTATTTCACAGGTAAATTAGGAACAAAAAAAGAAGCACTTTTCCAGTGTCAATTTATTTAGCACAAAAGTACTAATTGGGGACACTATTTTTTGTCACCTACTGGAGACGGGACTGCCATTTTATCCATCCGAGCCATGCAAGGTCTAGCCATTTGCAAGGCAAATCAGAAATGCAATACCTTCATTTCTCAGTTATTTTAAGACCCTGAGTATTGGTCCAGGCCCGAGAATTCAACCTACGACCTCCCACTCTACAGTCAAGTGCTCTACTGAATGGGGCTAATTCTGCCAAAGGAGTGTGATTCTAAAGGGAACTTTCACTGTTTAACAAACTGGTGTCAACTTCGCAGAAACAAATTCTAAATTCTGCAAAATAACAATGTAAAATATGAAGCTTTGTTGAAAGAGCAAGTGCAATTAGCTGCTCTAGTTATTTAGAGGAACTCAAGGCGCTGTTCAAACGTTGACTATTTCATGTATTGAACTTAATAGCAATTTGGGTCAACCCAAATGATACAAGTTCAGTGGTTGATTCAGACGTTGAACTTAATTCAATTCAATTCAATTCATTTTCACAATTATCTACAATGGTCTAAAATGTTTACCAGAGAAAATAAATTACAATAATTTATGCAAATTTAGTTTGGCTCATGAAAGGTTCAATGTATGAAACAAAGTCGCTCCTTAGTTAAAATTCCCATGCGGGCAACTCCAACTAAATTCATGGGTCCACCCAAATTAGATATGTGAGACTTAATCGATTCAAACGTTGATCTTTTCATGGACTTCTTTGTGGGGATTACGCTGTTTCCACATTTCCCATAACGCACATTATTTGCCCCCCAAAACTTTGCATAAGCATTGTTTTCAATTTCTCTTGGGACTGCTGTAGTACCCAGGAGAAATGAAAAACAAAGTTTATGCAAAATTTTGGGGGGGCAAATAAGGTGTATTATGGGAAATGTGGAAGTGGCGTATGAAAAGTTTGAAGTTTGAACTGAGCCTAACTTGAGTACTTTCAAAAAAAAAAATACAAATGTAAGTAACAGGATCAACAACTGTGAACTGGCAGGAAGCAACCAGATGACTATAATTTACAGGCATGCCTGACGGTTTTAAACTCTGGATTACCCCTAATGCTTAAAGCACTCCAAGTTGCAACTATTTCTTGTCCCCATGGCTAGTAGAAAAGAAAAATGATGACTAAAAATATTAACTGCAGCAAAAGCCACTACCTTGACAACCTGTGTTTTTTATTAATGCTGCGAAACAATAGTGTTTTAAATAGTTAGAGTTCATGGTCCTTCTTGTGCAAGAGCATGACAAACATTTGCATGAACATTGTTTACAGTGTATTACACTCAATTTTTTTTCTTACTTTGCCTCTTTCACATGAGTGTCCGGGTTTTTTAATACCTGGACACAGGCGTTAAGATGCTATTTGCTGCTGCAAACATTTGGATGTAGCAGTTTGGCAACCGTTTCGATTCATTAAATCTTTCATGCAATATACATAATTATTTTATAATTTATAAAACCAATATCATTTTTATGTCTGGCTATCATTTTATAACTTTAGGTTGCCAAAATGTGACTGTTAAAAAAGTTGAGCTTTGAACACTAGCTCTGGCTGGGAGTGTGGTAAAAGGAGCCTGTGGTAAAAGGTGCATGTACAACATTATAATATCACACCTGCTGAAGAAGCACTTGTGGTTGTCATGCTCTGCTTAGCAGCCGACTGTGCAGTGCTTGTATTTTCACGTGATGACATCACTGTAATCAACATTTTTCTTCGCACAGTAGGTGACTGGCTGGCCATAGTTTTGGGCACCTTATCTGCCGGCAGCAACAGCAGCGGCTTCTTATCCCCGCTACCCTCCAGCTGTTCTTCAGAAGTCAGCGTCTGTATGGTAGGACTCCCACTGGGGTTGGATGGCGGAATCAGGACAAACACCTGAGAGCCTTGCTTTGCCTGTTTAGGTTTCTTAGCGCTGCTAGAACTCCGCGTCTTGACACCATCTCCTTTGGCTTGGTTGAGGAATTGTTCAACAAGTTTGGGAGCAAGTTTTTCCACAGGAACCAGGTATAATGGAGAACCTTTTGCAGAAGAGAGGGGTAATGGAGAACCTCCTGCCTTACTGGTTTCACTGGTGTAGATTGTTGCCTTTTTTGGTATGATCAGTGGTGGACTTGAAGTGGTAGATGGCTTACTTTGGGAAGATGAAGCTGTTGCACCTAGCAAAAAATCAATAGAACACATTAAGGAGGGTGGATTTGGAAGCACAGAGGGAAGCCCACAAGTGCACTTTAGATTTTAAATGTCTGAATGAATTACAGTTGAACCTCTTCACAATGGCCACCTCGGGGGCAGAAGAAAGTGGCCACTGTAGAGAGATTTAAACAAGAGTCAAGTCAAGTGGCCATTCAGTTGTAGAGAAGTGGCCATTGTGGAGAGGTGGCCTTAAGTGGAGGGTCAACTGAAGTTCTTCTATATTTATTAGATTATTTCATTAGAAAATCGTACAGTTTACGGTACACTAATGAGACAAGATGAAGTTGAGGGAATGTATACATGAATTTCATACATTGTACCATGGAATGACGAATTAAATGCAAAGACAATCCTTGCAGTTTAGGACACAACTTATGCAGTTGCAAAAAGAAGACCTGAAAAAGAAAACAACAGGCTTGCTGGGATTAGAACCATGAACTCCGTGATACCAGTTCACAGCACTAACCAACTGAGGTAGAAAACCAAGTATCACAGACTCATATGTCAGCATTTCAATCCTGGCAAGCACGATCTTTTTCACTCTTTCTTTTCGCAAATGCATAAGTTAGGTCATAAACTGAGAGGATCCTCTTTGCATTTATTACAGAAGTAACAACATTAACTTACCAAACCAAAGTTAATGCTAGGAAAAACCTGATTGTTAAGATAATCAGGTGAATTTCTTTTTAATAACTTAACCAGATCAATAAAAGATACATGGCTGACCATTTGTAAGAACCTTCTTAAGCCATAAATAATTGTTCTTATTGCTATACTTACTTCTCATTTCTCTATTATGCATTTCGAATTGGATTCGAAATGCTAAATAGAGGCATTTCAAACCCAGTGATTTTGTTACCTCTGCGTCCTGCGTGCATGAAGCATAAAAATCCCCAAAGATGCAAAACAATTCATGGCATGCATCCTGTAGGATGCAGAGATCGATCGATCTGAACATGTATTTTTGTAGAAATAATTACTCTGTTTGTGTAATTACTGTGGCAGTTATTATGGCTGTTGTTTAACAATGCATAATTTATTTCTTGTAACCTTCGTTGTGCTTTAAAATAAAAGGACTATGTTCTAATTTCAGTATACTGGGTGCCTGGTTCGACTTGCATTTTTCTATATCGACCCATATTTCTACGTCTTGTAGTGTGGCATTTTTCTGGTTACATAATATCAAGAGAATAAGCCAATTTCTGCCTAGGGATAAATTAGAAATGGTGTTGCATGTCTTCGTTACAAGTAGAATTGATTATTGTAATGGACTTCTCTATGGATTACCGGACTGTGAAATAGCTAAGTTGCAAAGAGTACAGAACACTGCAGCTAGGCTGCTTATGTCATGTAAAAAGTATGACCATATTACGTCGATTCTGATAAATTTACACTGGTTACCAGTAAGCTATACCGTATTTATTTGACTATAAGCCGAGACCCCAAACTTTGAACGTGTAGACTCGGCATAATGAGAACCAAAAATAAATCGAAAACACCCGGTTATAAGCTGAGACCCATTCATTATTACAAGACTGAATTGTTAACTACGGGAAAACCTAACATTTTCAGAAAAAAATCACATTGACTGTCATAAATGAGGCTTAGACGATAACACACATGCGCGTATACAAGAGATGCAATGGTGATTTATTGTGCAAAAATAAATCACACACGATTGATATTACCCGTAACTAACTATTCAATTGAAAAGCAACGAATCATAACTCAGATGAATTAAGGTGATCCAAAAAATGAATTTAAAACTAACTGTGATGTTAAGCCACATCACCAGTACCTAGACATCCGTAGTGTCTATCAAACAATCTCGTGTTCGCAATCGTTTATTTCAATTCATGTTGTCATCATCCCCAAGGCTTGTCGCACGTCATACAACTTCGCGTTTAAACTTGAAATAGTCGCTGAAGCAGAAGCTGTTGAAAATAACTCTGAAATCGCCAGAGAATATGGCATCAGTGGGTCCATGGTCCGTCGCTGGAGGAAAGATCAAGCGAACCTTTTTAACGGCGAAATTAAATTGTCAGCGAAACGGAAGACGATGGGATGCTTCACGCCGAAGTATCCGGAGCTCGATCAAAGAATACTGGAATGGTTTACAGAGCAGAGAAGCCAAGGTAAGTTTTTTGTCGAGCATTGATTTTGTATTTTAAGATCACGAAATAAATCAATCAGCTGATTGCAGAGTGAATATTAGTTGAATGTCTGACAACATTGTGTATGAAAGATTCTCATTGGCCAGTTTTCACAAATGTCAAAACAAATTCAAAACGCGTCAAATTTTTAACCTTTCGATCGTTTGGTAACCTTCTCACTTCGTTTTGCATAGGAATAGCTGTTAGTGGATTGATGTTATGTCTAAAGGCAAAGGATTCAGCGAGGATCCTGAGTTTAAAGCGTCCCTCGGCTGGTACCAGAAATGGAAGTGCTGCCATTCCGTCAGCCTTCGCACCAAAACAACACTCACTCAGCGTCTCCCAGAAGATTTGGAGCAACAAACAGTCAAGTTCCATCGATTTGTAATCACATCTTGTCAGCGTCACGGTTATTGCCTATCAAGAACCTTTATTTTTTCTGTGAAAACACATTAAATTTAACAAACGGCTCCTTTAGGAGCCACCACATTCTTAAAAGTTAATAACCAACAACGGCATATTGTGTTTCTTTACTTTAGCTCGGCTTGTACGTAAATACATCTCGATTTAGTAGAGTTTCCATGCGCCGGAAAAACTTTTTTTTCAAAAACTTTCGGCTATAAGCCGAGACCCCCTCTAGAGCCCAAATTTTAATTCATTTCAGTTTTAATTTGTGTAAAAATCGCTCGCCTTATAGTCGAATAAATACGGTAGAATTTATTTTAAAATTTTATTACTTACTTTCAAAGCCCTCAGTGGCATGGCACCTAGTTACATCATTGATTTAATTCACACTAGGACTAATACGCACTATTTGTTGCACTCTAATGAAGGTGTCTTATTAAAGCATCTGTCAGGGAAAATTAAAAAGTCATTTGGTGACAGATCCTTCAGTGTGGCTGTGCCCACTTTATGGAATGCTCTTCCTAATATCTCTTAGATATTAAATATATTTGTATATATCTAATATTTGTATAGTTTTCAGGTTATTTATTGTTGTAATACCCTTTTGATCACCTAGTATGTTAAAAAGCGCACCAAAATGAATTAATTATTATTATTATTATAGTACAGAGTTTTGGAGTCTGTCTTCAGATTAACTGTCTGGTTACATAAAGGCCCATGCACTTTAAATTTTGGGCTCATTGCTTTTTGAACTGGGACCTAATGGTTCTGGACTGGGACTCATGATTTTTCACAAGAAGAGTCCTGTGACTCGGCAAGACCATTTGCAACAAAATCATTGATACCCTGTTTAAAACTTGAGAACCTGAAAGCCATACCCTGTTTGCAGCACCCACCCGTTTAGGCCACAAAAGAAAGTATCCCACCTAGGGCGCAAAGAAAGTCAGTTTTATAGCTTGCTAATCGGGCAAGCCGTAGCTGGAATGTACTATCCCAAGAGTCACTTAAACTAGCCCCAAAAATTTTTTTTGATGACTGGGATTGATTACAGTCTTCTGTAATTATTTGAATTCCCCCCAAAATTTTACCTGCCTGTTGGGCAAGTTGAGAACAGAATTCACTAGCCCAGTAGCAAAATCCACTAGCCCCGAGCTATCAGAAACCACTTTCTTTGCACACTGGAAACACAACTCCTAGGGTTGTACAGTAAAATCTCCACTAATGGCCACCTCTTCATGGACAAATAATCTACACATTAACTCTTGTTTACAGTCAAGGTAGGTCATGACTGCTTTAATAAGTCGACTATTTGTAAAATGAATACATTAGTTGTTGCCGAGACCAGTCTCAAATTCATATCTGCATTCCTGCATGCGTAATGAGCAGTGAAATTTCACGATAACTCCTCTGTATTCGGTCAGATTAAAAAATCTTTGAAAGGAAACAATTTACGTTAAATTCAAGAAAACTGAGCTGGCACAAATTGCATGACTACCTTGCATGTGAATTCACTGGCCGTTATGTATGCAGGAGTGCAAAGATGAAACTGAAAGTTACAACTACCAATGGATTCAACGAACTTGTGGGGGGGGTACACTTGACCTGCCATTACTGTAAACCTCTCTAAAACCTCTCTAAGGTGGCTGTTGTGGAGTAGTTCATGATCAACTGCATTAGAGTAGTGAAACAACTTACCACTTGTCGTGCTCGCAGCTGGTTCTTTCTGGGATGCAACTGTTGAACTTGAAGATCCTCTCCCACTATCTCCAGATCCTATAACAACAAGACAGGAAAAATCACACGAGGCAACATACAGTTAACCTTGGAATAAAGACCCTCTTCAGGCCAATGGCAGTTCAAATTAAAGCTTCTGCTGTACTTCAAATCATGATTATTGTCATCCTGTGCAGAGTGCTGCTACATGGTTCGTACAGCTCCAGCCAAACAAATTTCAAAGATTTTGAAGGTTTTTTTAGGACAAGTTTTCAAGGACTAAGATTTATTCAATAAATCTTTCTCATAGAAACATATTATGCTGGGCAGCCTAGATTTCACAGGTTCAGAGCACTGGGCTCCTTTTAATTTTTCTGAGAGCAAAGCTTGCAATTTTTAAGATTAATTATCAATTAATAAATCAATAAATGCATCAAACTCATCAATTTCTCCAAACTCTAAACACCTATTATTATTTAAAATCATGAATAATTAGGGCTGGGAGACACAGCAATTCCTGCTTCAAACCAATCTTTTATCATAACTGTAAGAAAATTCTCAAATCTGATTGGCTATCAACTGTCCTGATTTCAGCACTAATAGCACAGTGTAATAGGACAGTACACGCCATCACACGCACGCACGCACTTGAATGGCTTTTTTTACTGCTAACAAAAACACTCTGGGAATTTGTGTTTTAATTAAAAAAAGCTTAAAATATCACAAATTTTGTTATATAGTTATGATCAATTGGTAACAGATCTTCTTCTCGCACAATTCGGTCTGTAATCATACTTGTGATTACACAAATCAGATTCCAGCTATGCGATCTTCCACTTTTGTTAATCACTCGAATGATTACAGACCGAATTGGACTCCACTCAGTCCTATTGCCATTATTAATTATTAGACCGAATGTAAAACATAAAAGGTATGCTAGTAATAACCAAAAGTTAGGGAGTGTAGGTGAGATCAATGCAAAGGCTCTTACTCCAGCAATGCACTTTGCATTCCATTCATTCTCAGTGGAAGTCCAAATGAATGCTAGCCACACATGAAACAGCAACTTGGAGATTAGGATCACGGGCAACAAGAGGAGCCCACCATAATAATTATTACTAGGGACCTTCAAGAAATGAGAACGTTAAAAAATGGCACCCGAAAGATGATATTTTCTCTCTTTCCATGCTTTGACTCGAAAACTTTGTACAGCAGGAGTTAAACAAAGGCATTCATGATGTCCAGGGTTGTGAAAAGTAGCCGGATGCCAGCGAAAATCGCGGCCTACTTGGTTACTATCGGCCAGCTACTCTGGTTGGCATTTCTTTACAGATAGCGTTTTTTAAATTATATCCCTGGACTGGCCACTTACTCTGACAACTCAGCCGTCTATTTCAAACTTTTCTGACAACCCTGGATGTATGGGATGTCAGCTTTCATGTGGGCTCAATATTATACATGTACCATACATGCAAACTGCTTCACATACCTTTCTCTGTTGCTGGTTTTTCAGATGCTGACTGTCCATTTTGACCCTTGTTTGATTCAGCTGGCTGGTTTTTACTGTCTGACTGCTGTTCCTTTCCTGTACTCGTACTATCTGTGCTATCAGGCTTCTGTCCCTTCTCAGTGACGTTAGGCTGAGGTACAATTCTCGCAGAAGAGTCATTCTGAGCTTTGCTTGTCTCAGTGGTATCTTTTGGGGCATCTATTGTATTGAAAATTCCATGTAAATCAGAATTTAGAAATAATAATCAACTGTCAGAATATAAAGTCTCAGACATAATTACCCATAACCTAAGAATACAGCTGTGTTTCCTCACTCATTTCTGCTGATAAGTTTCCCACAAGCTGTAATTCTGTGTAACATGCAAGGCTGGCTCTAAGACCAAAGTTCTCTGAACCTGTAAAATCTCGGGTGCCTAGCATGTGACTTGTATGAAAAAAACTAAAGTTTTCTTAACCCCTGAAAGCAAAAGTTGGATGCCAGAAGCCACCCAGCTCGGTTACACCACAGCCTTGCTATGCATTGCTTGGTTGCCACTATTGTCAAGAACTGATAAATTACATACATTTTCTGTTGCACAATTCACACCAATGACAGCAACCGAAACTTAGCATATACAAAGGAAAACTGAAAGGAGTATCTAGCAGTCATGCAGGCTATTTTTCCACACTTTCCTTCAACACTTGTCATAATTTATTTACTCAAAATAGCCGAGCACTGGAAAATTAAAAGCAAAACAGGGAAATTTCTCTATGTGGTTTGTGACTATACTATAAAAATGTTTTACTGAATAGAAATAAATTCACGTTTATTACAACAGTTGAGGTTCCCTTAATAGTAATAATCCACCCCATTAAATGACAACAAATAAAAATGATGAAAACAGGTGCATGGAAAACATCTGAAAAAATTGTGAAACAGAGGGAAAATTTGACATTACATCAAGTTGCCAAGGAACCTATCCTACACACCCTAAATTGGCTCTACCTGTGTCTTGACAGTAAAAAGTACAGTTTTAGCCCTTTAAGCACCCCCCCCCACCCCTGATATCCACATACAAATTTGCCAGACTAACCTTCTGAAAATCTAAAAACAGATCAACGCATTTCCCCTTAGGTGATCATTTTATAAATTCTCATAACCTTTTCTCTGGATTAGGCATTAACATTGTAAGGAGAAAACTGATTTTCATCACTATTGAGACTAAGGTTTACGTACCTGAGGTATCCAGTCTTGGTCTCTTGTTGTTACCATTAAGCTCATTTCCAGTTGGACCTAGCCTCTTGAAGGTATCATTCACCCTGGTCACAACATTCTGCACATTAGTTGCTGTGCGACAAACAACGGCAGTGGTAGGCGCCGGTTCATCCTCATCATCAGGAACATCTCGACCATCCTCAGGTCTAGGGATCAGCACCAGCGGTGTTTTCACAGTTCCTCCAGGTGGCAAATCCTTCACCATCTCCCATGTATCCATAATTCTTTTAAAAGTTGGGAAAATGTTTATTCCAACAATCTTCGCTAATTCAGGGCCAATGCTGGATCTAAGAACATCCACATATTTTTTCCTCGACAAGTTCAGTCCGCTTAGGATTTTCCTTCCAAAGAGGCCAAAATCGTCAATATGCTTGTCTAGCAACGCTGGCATCACATACGCTCTGTAGAAACTTGGATGAGCATGGCAATCAGCACTTACAACAACATTTGCCGCATCCTTTGGTTTACCATAAATGAACTGTCTCATGTCTTGATCTGTATAATTTTCCCTCCTTGCTATTTTCCTGGCTTCCACTGTCTCGATTTTTTTGATAACTTTACCCCACTTTACTGCAAATGGAAGACCAAACTCCAAAAGGTTGTTTTCATTAATCCCTTCATCCTCGTCAATAGAGTACGCGATAAGCCTTCTTTTTAGTTCACTACGCAATGGTGTATCACTTGCTTCCGTTTGCATGTTTGAAGTGCTGCTATCAGTCAAATCAGCATTGGAAGGTACTGTACAAGATGAACCTTGTTTCTCTTCCTCAGTGCCTTTCTCACTGGGTTCCTGAGATTGCGTCAGTGAAGTGAACTGTTCATTTGATTCATTACTTTCCTGATTTGCTTTTGAAACCTTGCTAGTCTCCTTTCCTCCACTATCAATCTCTTTACATCCCTCTTCAACTACTTTTTCTTTGACAGAATGGTCTTTTGAATCTTTATCTGTTGTCAGGGAAACTTGTGGTGCCTTTCTGTTTCCACTACCAGCCATATTTTTTTCAGTACTTTCTACTACTGTGACATCTTTAGTTTTGCACAGATTACTGCCTGAGTTTGAGTTATTGCCAAGACCTTTAACAGTGTTTACAGCTTTGTCATTTTCAGCTTGCATACTTTTTTCCTTCTCAGCTACCACAGATTGTTTCCCCACTGCTGTAGTCGCTCCTTTATGCTCTTCTTCAACACAAATTACTTGTTTTTCACTTAGTCCCTGAGACTTTTCCACTCCACTAGAGACTGCAGACTGCTTTTCATTTTCTGTTGAGACCTTCAATTTATTCTCATCCGCATTACACACTGGAGTTTTACTTCCAATCTTTCCATCAGAAGGGTCTTGCGAGGTTGTTTCCTTTCCTTCTCGCATTAAAAGCAAATCACTTTCTTTGTTCACAGGTTCTATTTTTTCCTCTGCATCCACCATTATAACATCTGTCAAAGGAGATTTCTGCTTTTCTTTTTCTGCAGTGTTAACTTCTTTTCTCTGAAGCTCACCAGTTTCCATTGGTTCTGATGTAGAGTCCTTGGTAACAGTAAAACTGCTTTTGGTTTGGGTCACCCGTTCTGACTCTAACTGCTGATTGCTTGATTTTTCATCTGATAGCTTAGCGCTGTTCGCTGCTTCACTTCCTTCCTTAGCAGACTGTGCCAATGTATCTGATTGCTTCGACTCCTTGTCAGCAAGCTTCTTTTCACCAGATTCACTAGCTGAAGCATCCAATTTCTCCTCTACAGGAGTTGGGCCCTTGGTAGTCTTCTCCCCTTCATAAACATTAGGGAATATGCCACTAGAACTATCTTCTTGACTTGGAGAAGGTTTAACAGCTGATATACCATTCTTCAGTGATTCAGTCGTGGCAGCAACAGTGCTCTGTTTGCCTTTTGTATCATCAATGACAATTGTTTCTGCTTTCTTCTTTGTAACAGAGGAATTGCTGGAACTTAAATCAGAAACTGTTGGTGGTTGTTTGGGCGAGCTTTCTGGTTTGGTATCACTTTTAGCTGTGTTAACTGCAGGTGCATCCTTGCGAGCTTCTTTCTTCTTTTCAGTCACAAAGCCCCCTTTTCCCTGAGGCAACATAATCAGCTCCATCAACCTGTTCTCCACCTCTTTTCTGAAACGTTCAAACTCGCTATACATTTTAAAAGCAGACACAGATACTTGACCACGAGCGGTATTAGCACGAACAGACTTCATTTCTAATAACTCAAAAAGTGAAAATGTCTTGGCAACACGGGGTAAGAAAATTTCTTTTAATTCTTCATTGGTGAGATGCTTTAAAAGTTCACGCAGTCTCGCACTGCGGTGACAGTTGGCAAGTTCAGAGGGTAGAAAATATTCCACTGAATTGGCTGCTTTTTCAACAGGAAACAGTGGTTTGTGAGTGGGGTGGTAATAGTGGTGCGTTCTGAGTCCTCGTAGAGTAGTGTACTCAGCGCCACATCCCTTATGGTTGCAGTCATAGGTATCTTTATCTGGTACAGGCATATTTTTGCAGTTTGAGCAACATCCGCAACCTGTAGGGGCAGGCTTGTTTCCTTTCCCTGCAGGCTTTTTGACATTGCTAATGCTCACAGGTTCAGGTGTTATATTGACGGGTAGAGAAATCTGCAAATTTACTGATGTGGTATTCGAAGCTGCCATGGGGGCTGCAGAGGGTACCAGCAGGGGATTGGGACCATTAACATTCTCTGCCTTTGAAGATGTTGCAATCTTTGCGGTAGGATTTACATTCATAGGGGTAATGGAGTCGTGTCTGTTTGATAGCTCTGGAGCTCTTCCACTGAAACTTGTGGAAGTATTCAATTGGTTTCCCTGTGGCAATGTAGACACCTTTTGTGAATCAAGAGCATCTGTATTGCTGCTGTTAGCAACTGTTGTTGTTAAAGGTGTAGCAACTGTTGTTGTTAGAGGTGTAGTAACTGTTGTTGTTAGAGGTGTAGCAACTGTTGTTGTTAGAGGTGTAGCAACTGATGTTGTTAGAGGTGTAGATCCAGTAAGACTGCTATTAGAACATGATACTGCCTGACCAGTCTCATCCGTAGAAGAAACTGACACTGGTGCTACAGGAGATGATGGGGGCGAATACGAGTCAAAATCAAACGACTCTGTCTCAGCACTAGCAGATGTGACTGCAGACGATGCAAGACTTGCACTAGGAGGAGAAATGGTGCATGAGGCTGGACTGTTTAAAACTCGATTTTTCTGAAGAGCCTTGATAAGTGCATCTCTTGCTGTGCTCAAATTAGTGGACATACTAATACTTTCTGAACTTGACTGATTATCGCTGAGATTACGTTCCACTGGGAGAGAATTGTTACTAGCCTGTGTTACTGCTACTGCAGAGGCTACTGAAGCAGGTGGCAAACTAACTACAGAGGGGGGATCATTGCTACCATAGCTTGTCTCAACACGCATAACAGTCGGCTTTTGCGGTAATGGTGGCGGCTTTGGTGCTATTGTTTGTGGTTGCCTCTGTGTACCTCTTGGCAAATAAACAGCAGTTGGAGATAAAGTTGCCATCTTAACTTGAGAGATGGGTGCTGAATCTGTTCCAGCAGCAGCTAAAGAACTTTTAATGGCTTCTTGAAGTTGTTCTGGATTAAAAGCAACAGTAGATTTGGTGACAGAGGTCAATGCTGCCTGTATTGCTTGCTGCAACTGATTTGGTTCTATCACCTTTGTACTGCTAGCAACTGACGCTAGAGTAGCCTGGAGAACTTGCTGAAATTGTTCCGTACTGAAAGGCACATTGGCAGGCAAAACAAATCGAATATTTACTGGTTTTGTACTCGGAATAACTGTTGTTTGAGCTGTAGTAGAAACTGGTGTGTTAGAATTAGGCACACTGGTAGCTGAATTTGCTGCACACCTTCGTGGATGCCCTGCATTGAGAGCTGAACCCATAGATATTTGATATTGGGCTGGGAGCATACCCCTGATTGGTACAGGTTGTTTGATAGGTGGTCTTGCCACTGATGCAAGGGATCGAACATCAACAATCTGGGGTCCATTTGTTCCTGGGGAGGAAAACACAGGAGTTGGGGCAGAGACAATTTGAGGACGCATCACAACTGGCCTGCTGATTGGAGCAGGTTTGTTATCACTCATGGCTCTTGCAGATTTTAACGAACTTATGACATTTTCCAAGCTTTGCCTCGGTCGTCCTTGCGAAAACGGTGCTGGTTTGGCGGATTCCATAGGCTTCGGTTTAGACAAGGCAAGTGATGTAGGCGATTTCAGAGCCCTTCGACGCGATGTTTTGTCAAAATCACATTCTTCAAGCAAGGAGCTAAGAGAATAACCACCTTCGTTGTCATCCTCTGATTCGGGTTCTTTTTTCACTGTAATAAATCCCATGTTTCGAACTCGAAGGTTCACGGTTTCCGATTGATTTCTTTCATTGTTTGTATTTGCCGCGAGGCGATTCGCGCCATTTTCATTCGCCGAACGCGAAGGGTTTCTTCTGTGAGCCCAGTTTGTCGACTCCAGATACAATCTACCACTTCTTGAGTTAAACATTTCCGAATGATCTCCACTACCGACCACATCGATCTCTGGCGAACTTGAACGCTCATTCATTTTGTAAAGAAATACTTCTGTCGCACTTTACACAGCGGTTTCCTCGATCAAGCTTCCCCAGTTCTCACAAGCTTTTTGTTTCAATCCCGTCGTTAAACGTAGCGTATAACGTGGTAATAGACCAAAAAATGGTTTCGATGTCTGTTTTTCCTGAGTCCCGTGACATTCAACTTCATCGAAAGGTTTCTTCTCTGTCTGCATGACAGTGGTTCGCCATGTTGAACTTCACGCCACTTTCCCAGAGAAGAATTATGGGTCATGAGATTGCGTTCCTTACGTCACGATTCGCTGTCAATAAAAAACATGAAAGGCAACCAATGATAACGAGAATTCAGCACAAAATAAAAGTTCTCCTTCAACGCTCTTATAAGCTTTCCCTAAAGCCTTTCATTGTAATTATGAAAATAAGGACCAATACAGTTGGAGTTGTAAGATGAATTCAACGATCCATTGTCACAGTGCAATCGAAAACTTTGTAAATATCATATTGTCGAGTATTGCTCGCTCACACTACCGAAAGCATCCGAAAGGCTGGATTTGGTATCCCTAACTACGAGACCCTAACGAACGCATAAACAAGCTCTAGAATTCAACCATTCATTTGCTCTTTGGGTTGTTTTCACAATACAATACTTAATATAAGATAACCCAACCCAGCACGAGTTAACTGATGCAAGCGAACTGGAAACCAGGAGACGACAGATTTTTAAAAATTTGCATACAAACCTCACGACACGACAAACTGCTGTTTTCGTTTGCTGCTTTTCTTTGCAGATCGCTGTAAAGAGAATGCGACAAAACGATTCCCTTCTATTCTTGAAGCAAATTGAATTATTTGACGCGCCACATATCCCGAGAAATGTGCATATTCCTGCATATAATATTACAAAGAGAAACAAAAGCTCGTAAAATGCTCGAAGCTCGTTGGTTTGTTTTGCACACGCGCAGTAGACAGTTTGCTGTTTCGTTCCACTTTACTCGACACTAGGCGCATTTCACAGGCATACCCCAAATTAAAACCCATGTTTTTGCGCATGTCTAGCTCTGTCTTGTCTCACGAATTTTCTTCTCGTTTTCGGAACTTTTTTCTCTTCTTGAATTGCATGGTGTCAGTGAGGTTAAACTGTTAGAATCGTGCTAACTAGCATTTGTTTAGTTATTTATTTTTGTTACTCGCGGTTGTATTGAAAGGTAAATGCTAAAGCCCGATCGATATATCGATCCAGCCAATTTTATGTCTACTCTCTTGTTCACATACACCCTCGCACAATATAGGGTTTACTTATCTGACAACAGCTGAATTATTAAACTAAAACAGACGACAGACCAGACTTGCCACTAGTTGACCTCACGAGTAATACTTTCACTTTCACAGTTGAGAGCGAGCGGAGTGGAGCGAGCTTCCTCTTCGTAAGGAGCGAGCGAAGCGGCCGAGCGAGCGACGAAGTCGCGAGAGGTCTTCGTCTCGCGGGCACATTAAATACTGAGGACGAAGGACTTTCTCGAAAGTCTAACGACAGACGATCCTCTGTAGCCAGCTACCGCCCTGTGGTACTGCATTCCTTTAGGAGCAAGCTGAGTTTTCGCGGGTTTCGTCAACAAGATCGGGTAATAAAAATTTCGGCTATGAAACTCTTTACAATCAGGGTTCGGAATAATTTTTATTTATGCAGCCAAGTACCAGAAGTACTATAAGCAGTAACAACACGGTATTGGTGTTGCTCGGCGCTGTCTGCAGATGTCTCAGTGAACAAAGGTTCGTCATTTATGATAATTCCTCGCCCAACCAGTCATTTAGCAGCTCAACAAACGATGTACTTACCAAGAGAAACCCGTGCTTCGGCAGTAATTATAATAACCAAATGTGGAACTCCAAGGCAGAACCAAAGCTTCGAAGTTGCTCGGTGTAAAGTCGCCAGGCCTCTCTTGGTGGATGTGCGTGCGCTTCGGTGACAAACTCGGTTGCCCCTGGCCGCCCGGAATAATGAAACCTAGGGACTAGGGACTATTGTAGACAAGTATCTCCTAATCACTTATCCAATGAAGTGCGCGATTTAAGAGTCTGTTTCAGTTATCATGTGCTTCGTGTCAAAAGAAAAGTACTTATTCGAGATAAATTAATTCAAAAACTGTATAAAATGGAACTGTAAAAGGAACGTTAAACATTGCATTTATTCTGTCAGTTTCACGTGATTTTTAAAAGTATTGCACTGGTCTCAACTTGGGAAGAGATTGGGTTTTTTGAGCTGTCAAGGCCCAAGAGAGAATAATGTTGATTATTCTCTCTTGACACACCTCAAGTCTTGTGGAAGGACGCAGGCAAATAACTTTAACATTTTCAACCCAGGCCAAATGGTTGACATTACAATCCATAGGTGGCATTCTTTTATTTTACCACGGTCACCTAATTAGGACTTTAAAACATTATTTTGGAAAGTTCAAGTAAACGTCGACGAGGTTATTCAAAACAAGAAACAACGTACGTAGCCAGTTGGATTGGGACATCTATTTTTTTGTCCACTCCCTTGTTCCCCCCCCCCCCACCCCCCCTAAGGAAGGCTATCCTATATAGTTCTTGTTGTCTGCACTATTGAAGATTGCATCCGAGGGGTACAAAATGTTTTCAGCGTCTTAAAAAAAGACAGAGGCCGCCTATCCAGAGGAGTTTCGTGTGAATAAATGAATTACTAAAGATATATACCTGTTCTTAATTGTCTTTATAAATCTACTGCAAACGATTTCTTCGCTTCTTATTGAATATCGATTTTGAAAATCATCCGAAGCCATATCGTTGGGCACCCGGAAAATGTTTTTTATACTGTAAGCCGATCTTGCGAGCCCTCAGTCTTCTTAAAAAAATGACAGAACGAAACCGTAACCGATCCCCATTTTTTTTTTCGACGGGTTTTGATTGACCCTGTGGGGGGGGGGGGGGGGGTGGCGGAAAAATGAATGATCCAATTTTATTTCCCCCCCCCCACTTTTTATTTCGCTCTGCCGCCGCTGCAATCTCAGCGCTTCCAAAATTTAGAACATAAGATAGTTAGGGAGAATAAGGCAGAAATACTTCCCACCAAAGTATTTTGATTTCCGAATGGGAAAAGGGTCAAATAATCACATCCTGGCAAAAAACGCTGGCATTCAGTTGCCACTAAAAATAAAGCCTTTGTCAATTAAAACAAAAGAATAGAATAGAATAAAATAATTCTTTATTTAAACACGGTAAAATTCATCAGGAGTATAAAAAAAATAATATAATAAAATAAAAAAAGGTAAATTTCCGACCTTGTCCCCAGGGCGCTTTTCCCTGGCTTTGGAAAAGCGCCCTGGGGACGAGGTTGTTAAATTTCAGGCCATTTGACGTTTGACGGTTAAAATATTTGAGAACGACCGCTCAAAAGGGAATTTGCGCCCCCAAATTGGCATGGACGTGCATACGCTACTTTCACATCTCCCATAACGCACCTTATTTGCTCGCCAAAATTTTGCTACAGCCGTCTCAGCTTATGCAAAATTTTGGGGGACAAATAAGCTGCATTATGGGAGATGTGCAAGTGGCGTATGACTGGTACAAAAAATTCGTTTCATCCCAAGTCAGTCACCAATCTCTTTTCTTCTGTTTGGCCAAAGAGCGAATCATGTAATAAAGGACACTCCTCACGAAATCTTTACATAACCCACGACGGACTAAGAAAGAATTAAAAAAGTTTACTTCCGGTAGGCGTGCGTAGCTCAAAGACGGCCTACCGGCTTTGCTTAAGCAAAACCAAAACAGCTATTTCAATAAACGTTATTGAAAGAAACGTAAACAAGCCTGAAAGCAGAAACGGCAAGGTAAAATGGGTTTTTTATAGCGGAGCTCTCGCGAGCACGAAGAAGCTTTAAGGGGAGCAACGTGTGTAATAAAATTTGGTTATCTATGTAATCAAAGGAGAATAATCACAACCAAGGAATAAATATATTGTCCGTCGGTGCGCCCGTACGGCACCCGTTCATTGATGAATTGATTGATTGCACATTGATGGCACTTAACAGTGCACAAATGTAAGAAAGCAAGATGCACGTTTTGATTATCCTCACGTTAACAAGGCACCGGGACGAATTTTCAACCAACAGAAAAATTTGATCGGACACTTTGTTCAAATGGAACCGTTCAACATTTTCACTCCGTTAACAAGGAACTAAACTGAACTGAACTGAACTGACACAAGGACAGGTTGCCTTTTAACTTTTGTCAGAGGTTTTACCATCGCCCTTGCGCAGAACGCTACTTTAGCAATCCCAAATGGCGTCTCCCATATGAGTTACCACGAATCCCGTTTGTGGCCACGCCTTTGCTGTGGTTATGGTGTTCACACCGCACGTGTTCAAATTTTCGACCGTATCGGCTAAAGATGAGTTGCGGTTAGCCGGGGTGATTCCGTGTCAACAGAACACCTAAACGCACAAATTTTAAACCTGTCGAAAATTCGTCCCATGCCGTGTGAATGTAGCCTAAACCTATATTGCTTTTTTGACGCTATCGTTAGCTAGGGTTCCTTAACACGTCTGCATGGGAGGCTATGTGGATAAAGGAGTGGTTAGGTTATGTGGTGCATGAAGTAGCAGCCACCGCCCTACTACCCTGGTCCCAGAGGTTTTTCTTCCTTTTTTTTTTTTCGTGAAAGAGAGAGCGCGCGAGCCGCGAAGCGGCGACAATGAAGAGAAAATTTCTGAGCTATAGAAAACTGAAACCAGAGTTGGTTCGGAAGGACTTCAAACAGTAACGAACTTAAGGAACGACGGCGATGATCGGACGTCTGCAAAGTTTCCCAATTTAGTTGAACTATATCATAGTTAATTTGCAGCAAATCACTCTCAAACCAAGGAAACTTTACTAATAGTTTTAAGGTGTTTCCCCAAAGTACCCTGAGATACCAGTAGAGGCATCGCGAACTTAGGCTATGTCAAAAGTTTAAAAAAACCGTTTTAAGAGTCTACTATAATCGGCTCAGGTTCCAATTAATTGCTCTCCTATTCAGGCTAAAAAGCGTTTGGAAAGCAGTATTTAATTACTAGTTTTATTATGAACAAAGTTCTCTTAAAATCACGATTCCGAACATATGATTTAGTGGCTGCCATTTTATCTTTCACATTTTTTGAGGGGTTGCCCTGGGCACGAGTTCGTTTTTAAAAATTAGACCCTCGATAATTGATTAAGGAGGCTTTGTAGAGGTTCGCGATAGGCACAGGCGTGGGCAATTTGTGTTAGGTCAAATTGACAGGATCTTTTCAAAGTTTAAAAAGCTCACAAAGTTCTTTTTTCGTAGCGAATATACAACATTTTCTGAACTCGGATGGTAAAATCTCCAAATCAAATCCCATATATCCCGCTTATAACATTACATTCCCGAATCTTTTTCCTTTTTCCTCTAAAATCCCCAATCCCACCGCTGAAGATTATTGACAAAAAAATTCAAACGATTACACAACGCAACATTCCCAGATTTTAATCAATTGTGTTAATGAACCTTCAAAGTCAACTTGTAACTTACAGATAGCTCAATTGTGCTATGGCATATCTGACAGAGAAATCACACAGAATTGTGGTATTTACACTATCTATCATATATATGGTAAGTGCTCCTTAACTCTGGCTTTTTTTTGTTTGAATTTCTCCTTTAAGCAAATTTCTCAAAACAGCCAATCAATGCAAACTTCTCTAAATTCAGTGAAAAAAGCTTGGTTAAGAAATGTGCATTTAGTTCAGTTCC